CAAAATATTTAAGTGTTTATGAAACTTCTATGAATCTCAATTAAGTAGCCAAGAGCTCAGCCTTACAGACCTACTGATTGCCCAGAAGATTGTCATCTTCCCAAAATCACTAACCAGATATTAGTACATAAACTGACAAAAACATTAATGATATTTATTTCATCTATTGGAAGTAGCTGCATTTTAAAAAAGTTTATAAAGCAGTCAGAATAATGGAAGAAGAAATAAAATATTTTGTTGTCTTTATTTCAACCAAGAAAAAAGCAATTACAATTCTTTCTTAATATCCTTTTGTTGTATTTTATGTATAGGTTTTATTTCAAATAGCACATTTCCAGAAGTTGAGAAAAAAATTGTTTTGAAATCAATTTTTTAAAAAACAGGTATTGACAACCCTTGCTCTTTGAATGTTCGAAAGAAATTCTAATCAGCATAAATTTTGAAGGGCGTGGCACCAACAAAAATTTTTGGCTTGGCATCAGCCCAATCCAAAACTGAGCACCCCTAACTGATTGCTTTTAAAGATGTCTGGTATGTCTTCTTTTCAGATCTTCAACCCTTGGATTTTGATTTATCTAACATTATTTCATTGTGTATCACTATACTGGTACGAATGAAAATCTAAATCTAAATTATAAGATGGGCCTGTTAACGTGGCCAAAAGTCCAAACTTTTATATACAGGTAGCATTGTTACAGTACACTTCCAGCATTGAATGGGGTAGACTAGGATCAACATCTAAATCGTCCAAGTTATATTTGTTTTCATTTTTTATGAGACAAAGTAAACAGAAAGTAAAAGATGGTTGCGAGAGTCTAGTAAAATCTTATTTAGCCTAGCTTTTTGAAAAATCTGTTTCTTGCCTGAAAAATAGTTTTCCTGAGGTTCTCACAAAAATAACTAGATTTAAGAGAAGCAACACCTTCACGACACTTAGACCTATAAGTATAAGTCTGGAAAAATCAAGCAAACCGAAAGCTATGACCTCTAAAACAATTTTCCTTTTGGTTTAGGGAGGGGTTAGGAACATAAGCAAAAGGGCACTGGGTGTATAGATCCAAACCCCTTGATGCTTTGAGCTATGACCTTTCTTTCTAAACTGGGAGCACATAGTTCAAGTTTATAATTGTATGTTTTTGACTTTACCCTTGTCTTCTGTACTTGTACTTTAACTTATAATTAATTTCTGTGTGAAACACGCTCTCAGTTCATATAGTTAGAATACAATCAGGAAAAGTAATTATTTGTCGTAATCAGGTACAGGTATCAATCTGCGTTTCCTCATCATAGTTACCGTTTTCGGCTATAGGAGAATCCAAATTGTTATAGTGAATTACAGTAGCCAGCCAAGATCTTTTAATTATTATCTTCCTTGTCCTTCTTTATTTTATTTTGTTACTCTCTCTTCCTATCTTTCTGCAGCAGGTTTCTTCCCAATTTTTCGACATTCAATTTACCTGTCTTGATCCCTAAGATTTTTGCAATTTAATTATTGGAACTTAAAATAATTTGTAACTTTCTTCAGAAGCAAAACTTTGTCCACCTCATGTTAGCAAACTCGCCTTTTTTCAACACGCTCCCTCCATCTATCGCTATCATTCATAAAATTTGGAAGTTCCTCTTTTAAACGTCTGTATCATCCATTAGTTGGTCTATATGGTATGGGGTAGGGCATCCTCGTTTGTGTCTTCCAGGCATTGGAGTTCATAGCAAAACATCATCCGTTATGTTATGTCATCCGTTAAGTAGGATCAGTACAGGTACAGGATGACCCTTCTCAGATGGTTCATGAGCCAAGCCACTTTATATGATACATTTTCAAAGTAGCTTAAAGATGTTACGTGACCATGAATTTCACAAAATCACCATAAATTGACAATATTCTAAATTTCGGCTTTTGGCTTCTTCTTTTTATAAGAACACACTTTATAAGAACACTGAGGCTCCACTTGCCCAAAGAATAGGGACAAGGCTAGAATATACTTAGCTTCAGATGGGAAATTTAAAAAAAATCGCATTTTGAAATTTATGTTTGTTTGACATAAATTTCAAAACTATGCAATTTATAAACATAAAAACATTTTTAAATTCTGGTCTGTGAAATTTTACTGAAAAATTACTTCTAAATCATAAATATCCCCCAACTGTATGTAATCAGATGTGCCATCTTGAAAGTTTACTTTGAATTCGGACAGTTTGGTATTACAGTATTTAATGTTACCGATAAACCACCCATTTTCGTAACAAGCCTTCACGTTTCTGTCAACCAGCTCATGATCGAAAAGACGATATTTGACATCGTCCATCATCTTTTCCTCTTGGGGGGAGGGGGGAGGGGTTCATAATTGTCTTGTTGTTCCAGAGATACTGCAGAACCAATGTCTGTTTGATCACTAGTTGTAGCATCATTGAACGTAGCTGGTGCAGCTGCCGGGGGGATATGCCATTGGCTTGGGGACTTCGTAACCCAGTAAACCTTCTGGATTGCTAAATTGATCTTCTGATCCGTCTGCAGTAATAAGGCATCCTGTCTTTTGCCACAGGCTTAGACGAAAGCTGTTGTATTTGTCTGATATCAGCTTTTTGTATGCCTCACATGCCCAATGACAATAAGTATGCACCGTTCCTTTGAACTGTACGGCTGCACGTTGCCAAACCATCTGTCTGCATTATCATCAGCGTCAAGCCAATTGCTATGCACTTGCTGTATAAAAACTTTGAGAAGTGAGCCATAGCCAGCTTCAATCGGCTGCCAAAGATCAGTTGCATTGGGAAGTCCATACCAAGAGACTCCCTTCAATTGCGAAATGGCTTTCTGAAACTCTTCTGAAACTTGTGCAGACAGGTTGTCACAAAAAAGTGCAAAGCGTCCGTGATTGGCAACAAAAGGAGCAAGAGTTCTGTTTGCCCACTCTACCAAAAAGCCCAAGCATTTTCTTGAAAAAAAAACAACAATTTCATGCCATGCTGCCTTCTCGTCATCAGTAATGCGTTTTCCCTTTCCTCTGAAATTGATGGCCAATCGTGGTTGCTGGCCCAGTGGAGAAAATCCATACCTTTGACTTGTGCTCGTCCTCATCACTTTCAAACATGTGATATGTTCGCTTAATATGGAAGCGGTCAACATTTAACCTCTGCATTGATTGAAAAAGACCCCAGTTTGCATCATAGCTGTCATTTCCCCCTGTTCGTACAAGTCTTTCTCGAGTTGTTACATGTCTTTGTATAAGCGAGTCGCGAAAACTTTCCTTGGTCAGGTTTTTATTGCGCTGCTGAAATCGCATCCGTATGTTGTGCCGTTTGATAAAATTTTCAATGACATGCTTGCGGATAACAGCATCTGTATTCCCCGTCATTTCCATATGAAGAAATCTTGCTTTGCTCCAAAGTCAATTGAAATTTACGCGATGACCCTTTCCGCGAGCAATTTTAAATTTTTCTTTCAATGCCAGATATATATCGTTGTATTTTCTTAATGGCCTGATTTTCAGATTTTTCTGTTCAGAACCAGCCGCTTTCAGTATTTTAGATTTGTCCTTCAACCAATTATACCTCGACTTCAAGGCTAGTTCGTCATGAATATATCCAATTTCGGCATCGGCAATGACGATCGCTAAATACTATTCACGCCGATTTTGTCCCCGCCTTCTAATTTTCTTATCCGACTGGGGCAGTGGCGTACCCAGGGCTGTAGCAGTGGAGGGGGTCTGGGGCACAGCCCCTAGAATTTTTTGACCACGCCCTTCAAACACTCGCAAATGTGGGGAAACGCCCTTTTTGCAAAATTTCCCCCTATTATTTGATTTATGTTAGCTACGGTAAGTAGCAAAGTATTTGGTAATTGTTATTGACACAAGCATACAGTATACTACCCTCCCCCAGTGGTGTAGTGCTGTCAAAATAACAAGGGGGGCTTCTGCCCAAAATGTTGCGAAAAACAATAGCAAAAGAAGAGATTTGCCAATTTTTGGCATCGACAAGGGGGGCTCAGCCCCCCTAGCTCTACACCCCTGCTCCCCCCAATGAGTTTTACATCGTTTTTGGACAAATCTCGAGGACTATATTTTCAAAAAAGTGGGGAGGTCCGGACCCCCCATTCCCCCCTTGGTTACGCCACTGGACTGGGGTAGGGCTACCTTCTCAGTTTGCTCTGATCGAATTTTTTTCTCCAAATTTGCTTCAATCATTTTTAACAGATCTTTCATCACATATGACAAATTGAGAGTCATAGCGTTTTCTTCGTTAAAACTTATAGAATGAGCTGGACTTTTCTTCTGTACCTTGGATGAAGACATATAACTCAACCCTTGAGGGCTTTTAAAAAGCTGAGGACAATGGCTATATTTAATCCTAGCTGTGCTTTCCTCATCTACTGATTCTACAGTGCCGTCAGAACGAATTTTATATTGGGAGGGGGGGGGGCTGCCCATTGTATTCCTTCTCATTTAGTACACTGTTATAAAGGAAATATACTAGTCTGGCAATTATTTGGGGTGGGGGAAGGTGGGGCTATAGCCTCATCCACTTTTTGCCAAAAATGCAATGAATCTACCAGTGAATCAACAGTAACACCAGTTTTTATTCAGTTTTAGCCCCCCCCCTACTTTTCTCAACCCTCCACAGTGCCCGAGTTATAGTTAAATTTTTCAGTTCTGTTTCATAGCAAATAATAAGTAAAAAAATAAGAATAGGTCACACATAAGAAAATTCATAGTGTCTTATAATATTCCACTTTAAGATATATGATCAGTCTGCAGGACTATGCCAATTTCAAACAAAAATCTTTCACCTTGAAACAAACTCTTTTAGGCCAACAACACAAAATAATTACTTCATAGTTCCAGATACTTTGACTTTGAATTGAGAATTTAAATTGGCATATGTTGCCTATACTCTGGTATGTGATGACTATGTAACTGATTGATCAAAACTGTTGGCATTGGTCCTTCAATACCCCCTTGTAACAAAGCCAGAAATGTCAAGAAAAGACTCAACAATGATTAAATTAATCGAATTGTTTATTCTTTTCTCAGTCCCATAGTTTTACAGCTTAGCAAAGAACTAAAAGTTGTCACTAAAGTGTTTATGTGAGCCTTAATCTTGAGCTGTGGTTTGAAGAACTGTCCATGAATATTAACATTCAAGCTTCACAATGCCACAAGAATGCCCATAGTTTTCATTGACTCAAGAAAGTTGTCCAGAGTTGGAGATGACAAGTTTCTTGGTGGTGGCACCTTGCTTTGATCCATATGATTCCATTTTCTTGACAACATCCATACCATCAACAACACTTCCAAACACAACATGTTTGTTATCAAGCCTGAAATAAATGATTAGAGTTTTGTCATAATGAAAAATCAATTTTTGAATTTGAAACTATTTGTTATAAATCACTTTTATAGCATCAAATCAGGCTGAGCCAAAAGTTTCATTGGATACCCAGACTCTGAATTACAACCAGACTCTAAACTAGAAATATCTAAATAATATAGTAACTCATGACTGAACAGTCCAAATGACATGAAAGTTTTCAGTTTAGACTGATTTCAGCATGAAGTTTCAAATCCAAGCACCGTCTTTGACAAAGGCCCATAGATAGCAAGATGCAAAATTGATGATACCACAAAAGAACTGGGAATAAACGTCAAGAAGACTTTTAAAAATCTGAAAATCCCTTTAAATCTTCATCTGACCTCATAACTTCTAAAATCTTTCAAAGGTTTCATTATTTATGACATATGGACAAAATGTTTACATCTATTATTGAAGAAAAAAAAGATATGGTATATATTTTGTGTGATCAACCAATTTCCCAATGGTCATGGCAACCAGAAAGCTCCAACATAACAACCTCAATAGTTTTCACCTGTCTTTCATCTGTTTTGTTGCAACTGTATTTATCAAGCTTGGCTGAAGTTTTGGCACTATTTAACTGATTTTTAAATACACCTTCACAACTATTACAATGATTTTGTAAACTTGAAGAATTCCACATTCTACAAAGTGTTTTGAACTGTACTTTCAGAGTGTACCAGACAACATCTGATATATTTTATGGTTTAAGTTGAAGGGTCTGAAATTTCTTCCACAAAAATTGCAAAATGCTTTCAGCCTATCAACAATAACAGCCAATGAGGATGATAAATCCAAAGAGAAAATCAAGAGTGTAAATGTGTTGGGAAGCAAGCTATTTTAAAATATGATACAAAACATCACCTACACCTTTGTTGTGAAAAAATTTCTCATTCAATTGAACTGGAAATATTCAATTGAAAGGAACAGATTGCCTACCCTTTACAGGTTTGGCTTCTGTTAAAACCCTACTTTTGTCTCTTTTCTTTGTATTTTCTGAGCAAAATTCAAAAACACCTATTCGTTTGAATAAAAAACATATATATGTACATTTACAATCCATTAAAAATATTCAGAAATCTTCAGGAAATTCCAAAAAACTTAAAATCCTTGTCAAATTTAGGTAGTGAAATGCCTCTCTAGTGGCAGGTCCTGTACTTTGGATTTAAAAACAGGAACCAGTAACTCAGTTTGTAAAGCAAGTAAGTTCAGTGCTGCTGTTCGAGTGATTGAGTTCTGCCCTGGTTGTCTAACCTTCTCACCTTTTCTCTCAGTATATATAACTGTTTATAAGATGAATGTAACAAAAAGATATATAAATAAAGAATTAAGGTAAAGATGAAAGTTTTATTTTTCTCACCAAGCTGTCTTTACAGTGCAGATAAAAAACTGGGAGCCATTGGTATTTTTGCCAGCATTAGCCATTGAAAGTGTTCCAGGTCCAGTATGCTTCAAGATGAAGTTTTCATCTGCAAACTTCTCCCCATAAATTGATTTTCCTCCAGTTCCATTGCCTTTTGTAAAATCACCACCCTATCAGAAATGATTGTAGATATCAGTGAGGAATGAATATTGCAAAAGCAAATGGATATTTCATAAGGATTCCTGTGGGATTTTAAATCTTTTTGTTAGACTCACAGTCCAGAGAGAGATTAACAGATCATAAAAGAAGAAATATGGGACAAATATATAGCAATAAACTGCAATGTTCCCAAGGAATGAATATTTAGCTGTCCCAAATAAGTTTTATTAATAAGCTTATAATGTGACAAGTCAACAATTTGAAAATGAACACTTGAAAGCAAAAATTCAAAAAAAAGGTATCTATCTTTGAATTTTTCCAACCTCAAAAATCTAAGTTCTCTTTCACCAAACATATATATAACGTACATACTTTGATAATGTCTAAATTGCTAGGCAACCCAAAGCTATATCTGTTGAAAGTTTTCTTTTTTAAGGTATATACTTTATTATTGTGTAAAAAACTTTTCGAAAGCTATTTGCTTGTAGAATGACATATCCAGTCATTTTCTTCATTTTAGAATTAGTCATTCACTGTGGCTACAATCCTGGACAAAAATGGTTAAGACTTTTCAAGAAAGGCTTATATTTCCACTTTCCTTTAAAAAATAACTTTCCCTTCTCCCCCAATTCAATGTTGAATGCATGATCTTGAAGGAGAAATGATAGAACTACAAATCCAACATTGCTTCGGGGGAGGGGGGATTCCAATTTACAGGGCAAGGTGAAGAAGAAAGTTACAAAAATTGCACTTTGTCTCAACGTTTTTGTCCGGGATTGTAGTTCTATAATAAGATTACCTGAATTACAAAATGACAAGAAGAGGTAGCAAATAGCTTGCCAAAATTTTGGCAGCAATGATCACATTTCAGGCTTCAGGGTCACTCCATGTCAAGGGGATGTAGGGGGAATTTTTGCTTGATGATTGCATTAAAAGTAAACTTTCTATAGAGTTATCAGGTTATGACTTCACAAAAATCTGTTTTTAGAATTTTTCAACTTGTTCCCATAACCTGAAAGAGCATCATGAAATACCTATGAATCTGCAAAATCAGTTAAAGGTATTACAAATTGGCAGAGATATGACAAGCTCTGGCCCCTTCAAACCTCTGTACAGAATTACATAATTTGGTCACAGTTCATAACTCAAATCAAAATAACAGCAATGGGTTAGCAAACTTCAAATCTTCAATTGGCCACAGCTCAACCACAAATAGTAAAAATATTTTTCTACACACCTAACACCAAACTACATAATAAAAATAAACAGCCTGTAAGCAAGGAAATATAAATGTTAATGTCACTTTACCTGGCACATGAATTCTGTAATCACACGGTGGAATGAGGAGCCTTTGTATCCAAAGCCTTTCTCTCCAGTACAAAGTGCTCTAAAGTTTTCTAAAGGAAACGAGGTTCAAATTTTACACCACAGAATTCTGATTATAACATGTATATATCAATCTGCAAATTTTAACACTTTTCCATGTCAGGTACATACCTTAATGGCAAAACCTTAAAGTGGAACTGACATGAAAAATGAAAAAACTTCATAAAATTTATTTATTTCATTTTAGTATAGAGCCGGCAGTGCTGAATCGAATGGTGTAACTTTTTCCTGCATATCTTTTCCTTAACATAATTTTTTCAAGCTCCAAAGTACTGGTTTTCGTCAGATTTTGTTAGAATAAAAAAAAGCGGCCAAAGAGGAATTTCAGGAATTTGTGACGTATTCTGATGTGTTCGTGCACCGGCAAGGTCAGTTTATTGCGTACTTTTGAAGGATGGCAGACATCGGGCATAGCAAAAAACAACCTAAATACGGCAAATATTGTTGTGCTGGTGCACTAAACTATACTGGCTGTTTGGATAACAGTCACAGTCCCGAAAATCAGTCGCAGTAGTTTCCGAAAGCTGAAAAAAATAGCGTCGATATTGGGTAAAATTCATGAGAAGACATAGGACCGCTTTCAATCCATTGTCTTCGCCCGACCTATGACCCAAAACACACGTTACGTACAAGAATTATAACAACCCTACCAAGTTTCGAAAGGGTTTTGAATAGTCGATTCAATTCCTTTTGATTCAAACGGAATTGAATCAAAGGGAAACAGACATTCGACATCGCTTTTGTAGAACTTCAGTATGGAGCTGGATCATGGCTGGATTGAGGAGTGTTTCAGATATTTGCACAAAACCATGAAAACTGTTATACAACCAGTTTTGCATGTTTTGCTTGTAGTAAACTAATTGTGTTGTGTTCCAATGTTTGCATCAGTACTGTTGTTTGTTGCCTTGCCATCAACATTCTATGTTATCGCATCATCCCATCGCCACTATTGTTTTCATCAGTCCCTTTGTTTGATTTAATTATCGTGTTATAAGGCTGTATGGAGCTCGAACAGGGGGCGTTTCAGATATTCTCATCAAACCAGAAAAAAACAAGGGGGAACTAAATGTTTTTTATGCACATTAATTTTAGTAACTCTCAAAGTTTCAATCGGTTCGGAACATTTTTACAAGTGTACTTAGGGGTTTTCTATGTGCTGGTGTCTTCAGCCAGGGGTTTACCTGGAGCTTGTTGTTGTACAGGGAATTCGATTATTGGAGTTTTACGATTTAAATTAGTATACACTCGAAAGAAGGTTGTTCTTTATGTTGTTTTGAGTCGATTTAGCTGTCTTGCTTTGGCTCTAGTGTTGAAGATCAGTTCACATCAGGTTGTGATGTTTCATGTCGAATGTCAATTTACGGGCCGCGTCAAAAAATGTCTGCTTACCTTGGGATGTAAAGTGCGTCTTGTTATGAAAAGAAAAAATAAATCAACAGAAATCAATCCAGTTTTCTCCCTTGAAAAAACTTTATATTATCTTTATCCGAATTGAAACTTGAATAATTAGCCAAGTGTCGGCTTCGCCACAACATGTTCACCCATTTTCAGAGGAAGGTGGTAATGGATCTTTCTCATCGGGTTGCAACATCATTTCAACGTTCCCGTCTTCAAAATTTGTTCTCTCACTTCCGATACAACTTCCTCATCGTTATATGAAACGTTTGAATCTGGAAATTCCTTTCCCACCTTAGGTTGCTGGACATTTTCTGGTCACCGTTGGGGTTTCGTGACTGTAAACTATATAATAACACACCAGAATGCGTCACTCTCCCCAGACTCTTTTCGAAAAACCTCCTACGACTCAAGCCCCCCAAAAACAAACTTATGGCCCTTATTTTGAAAAAATATTTGCAGATATAGAATCAGTGATGTTTAATGCCTAAGAAAAAACCTTTTTCAAAATTTTGATTTTTCATGTCAGTAGCACTTCAACATAGTCTAGTATACAAAATCTTTACTCATGCAGGATCTGTTAAAAAGAGTTTATACACTAGGGTATCAAAGTATTGCACCGCCTTGTTCAAAATGGTGGCACTTTTTGTCAACTTTTGGACAATGCAAAATATTTTAATGCATGTATAGTGTGAAATAGGCGTATTTTATAGCAAATTTTGGCAAGGTTGACAAACGCTGAGCAAGGTTTTGCAGCTCAAAATCCGTCCACAAAAAATACAACAAGTGTTTTTGCAAAAATACAGAAGAAAAAGTTACCAAAGTAAATGGAAACCATTTTTTACAAAGATCTATTTCCATACAAAAGAAATTAAAGCTTTGGAACAGCTAGAATCAAGTCCAATCTTTAACATCACTTAAAAAGTTTGACTTCAAATGAAAAAGGTTACAAACCATGATCATAGTGGTCGTCCAAAAACCAGAGAATCATTAATTGCAAGAGGTTTCCTGGCCTAATACAAATTTCAAAAGAATACATTGGCCAAATATATGGATCCATTTGCAGGAGGCTTTTTCCGGTTTCGAACGTTTGCCGCTACCCGTCAAAATATTGATATTTGAAACTGTTAAAAGACGTTTGCTACTGCTATTTTTCAAACTGCTCTAAATGGATTGAAGTTTTGATTGGTGGTTATTTTGCTTTCGACCAATTGCCATTCGCCAATTAAAAACATAATGAATTTGCATAACAATAGCTTCTGATCATTCATGCGCTATTTCTCCTCCTTAGTGTTGGTGCAATACTTTTGATACTCTAGGATACAGTTAAGGAGAGTGTGCAAAAACCATTTAACTGCGAACCGGAGTGTGCTTTGCATTCTAGTCAAACAATAAAAAGTACTGCTTAGATTTCAGTCATTTTGAATAATATAAATGTAAGAGATTAAAAAACCCAGCTCACCAGCAGTCTTTGGGACAACATCTGCTCTTAACTGTAACAGAAAAACAGCTCTATTACTTCTTGTTAAAAACTTTTTCCTTTACATTCAGAAAAACTGACTCTAGAATTTTGCTCAAAATATTTATATACAAAAAATTCCAGCCCAACCCAGTGTCTATAAAGAGATGTCTATATGATGCAACTCAGGGTCTACGAGTACGTAAGAACAAAAAATCCACATGTTTGAATTATTGCTTCAAAGTAATATCTATTTCATGTTGGATTGTGACTCATCATTTTGGGTTGTTCCTGCCCACCATTTTTTCCTTACAATTATATGAATGGATGTATAACTGTTAAACTTGTTTGGGAGACACTCTTCATGTCTTGTTGCAAAAATTCAAGAATCAACCTGAATATCTCACATACTTCTTTCTGGCAATTTTTAGGGCATGTATCATGTCATGCTTCTTTAAGCAAGTTTGGAAAAATTTAAAAAAGTTTTGGCAAAATTTTGAAAGTAATTATCTAATAATAAAAAGTGGGAAAAACCATGCTTTCCAGTAACATGGCCTGAATTCCAAATATTTACCATTGCTATTTAACATTCGTTTCACGTGGACAGAATAGAAAAGTGCAAACGGGGAGGCTGGTCTCCACGGGAGCACAACGCTAAAAGCTGGGGGACTGGGTCTTAAGCTGGTGCTGAGCATGGACGCATGCAGCAAGGAAGCATCACTCGAGGCGAGGTCTTCTTTGTGCGACCTAGTTTACGGGCACAGTTTAGCCCCCATGAGTGTTGCAACCAAAAATTATATATAAATTGCAAATGGCTAAGTCAGCCACAATAAAAATTAACCTTCCAACCCCGCCACTTTGAAGCTAATCTTCAGCTGCTCTCACGTCTTAAACATAAGATGGTGAACTTGCAGATGGCGACAGAAAGTAATATTGACACACATCATTCACATCAGTGAATTAATACAAAAACATTGAAAATGGCAAAATACGAATTGGGAAAAGGTTAAGAACAATTGTACGTCTATAAGAAAAAATAGAAACACCAGGCAAAAACTTCACTTCCTCCTTTTCACACGAACAAAGTCAAGACAAGAGGGTTACAGCGGAGCAGTGCAAGAAGAAGTCGAACGATAACATACCTCAAGCCATCCAAAACAACAGTTTACTTGTTAAGAGTGACATCAATTAATATAGACCGAGATGAATATTAAAACTATTTGACATTCAAGTTCTAGATCCAAAAACCTGAGACGACAGCAGGACTAGGCCTACCTCCTAAAAATCCTTATTGCAGCACTTACCTCCATTACAATTCTTCCAAGTGGTTGTCCATCAGCCGTAACATCGAAAAAGCATTGTGGTTTAGCCATTTTTGAACAAAAGTTTCGTATAAATCTAATTCCAGGGATAGCCAGCGTTGCTACTTGTGCATGTACGTCCCAAAGAGTTCGGAGAGGAAGCCACGCTTGGCGTGGTTGCTTTAAATCGAGAGCAGACCCACGTGCTACATACCAAATATGGAACAGAATATAAGACAAATATGGCCAATACTACAGTAATTTTACTGGTTTATTCCAATCGAAATGCGCCGATACAGTCTTTTCTCTAACCACGAACGTTCTATCTTGACGATGTACTTTTCCTAAGTGAAATCTCAACTAAAGTAAAAAAGACTTGCTTCTATCATTTTATCACATGGTCTTTGGGCCTAAATGTTCTCATTGCGAATTAATAACAACAAAAGTAACAATGTTAGAAACAAAAAAGTGATAAAAACATAAAATAAATCATATACAACGATAGACACATAATAGATAAAATTAGATAGACACTTAATAGACACAATTAGATGCTTAATTAACTGTTCTGAGAGGTGAAATATTTGTTTGTGTCAAGCTGTAATCACATCGATGAGATTATGTTTTTGAAGATAGATTGTGTTGAAGATGAAGTTTGAATAATATCATTGAATATCTCTTTCGCTTTGAAATCCTGAATGCAAGATCAATATTTTAGCGAGTAGGTTTATTTCTTCCCTGTCTTCTTGACCGATAAACCAAATAACTTGATGTTTTCTATCCAGATAAAATCCGTTGGAGCAAGATAAATTTTATCTTGGTTGGAGTAATTTTTCATAACAAATCAAAGATTCTTCAGTAAAAGCCAACAAATCGTTAGGATTGTAATCATCATCAAGGTAAATTTTTGAATTTGTTGCAAATAAAGAAATAATGTTTTCGTTCGGTTGGAGGACTTTACCATTTATTAATTCTATTTTCAATATTCAAATTTTACTTCTTTCTTTCACAATTGTTAACTTTTATCTTACAAATGGCAATAGGATCAACAAACACCTCGAGTTTTAAAGCTGTATTGCATTGAATATATATTCTAAATCTATTTTCTTTGCTAATGTGATAATCTAGCTCTTCTGACATGGTCGTACTCTCATTATCACTGTTGTAGAGACTAAAGAAGTATTTTATTTACAAGGCCTGTTAGTAATTCCTGATAACAGAAAACTTGGACCTCTAGAAAAGAAAACTTGAAAGTCAAGTTATTGTCCAAAACAAACATGGCGTTGACGCCTCGTGCAGCAGAAATTATAAAAACAGAACAATGGTACTGTTAATTTGATCAAACCGCAAAAACATTTGTATAGACATGCCAAAAAACAGAGAACTATAATTTGAACCAATCTTCAAAGATTATGAATTGCAGGAGAAATATCGTCAAACTACAACTAGTAAACCTTATCTGAAATGGAGTGTGTGCTTTTGAGGTGCTAAATGCTGAACGTTCTTGCAAAGTTTGATATTCTGGAATACTTTCAGCGTAAAACAGTTTTTTGCTTTCAAGAAAAAAAATTGGTACAGGACGAAATTTCTGCATTCAAGGGTGCAAAAATATCCACTCAACCTCCCAACGAACTGAGGCGGAAACATTAATTCTAAACTTCAAAAACTACTGCAAAAATGTTAGTCTTTTCTTTTAAGATATTCTTTTAGCTTATCATTGCATACAACTTTCTATAACTTTATTGGCTAGCTTGTTGTATATTTTGTTAGTATGATTTTGGTTACAGGTCTAAAGGTGATTTCAAAGTCTTTGTATGAATGACAAACCTTAACATATTTTTCCCCCTTATTTCATTGACAAGCACGATATTTACACTTCTCGTCACGAGCAATCATAACCTTCTATTTAACATATTCAAGAGTAGGTTTTAAAGATCTGTTATCTGACCTAAGAAACCGGTGCCAATGGAAACGATGACGTCCTTTTTCCGTTTCTATTTCAAACATTTTAGCTGATCCTTATTACATAAAGTAATGATTACAAAGAGTTTTGTTGGGAAATATTCCACGTGCATAAATTATCATTTCATCATTAATAAAAGATTACAAAAGTTGTTGTTACTCTTTTTATAATCTTTTTGTAACGGCTATTAAGCGTTATGATCTTCGGTCTTCAAATTAAGCACATGCGTGGAAAACATATTTCAGTAATTAATAACCTTTGCCATCGACATGTCTAGCATGATCTATCATTTGGTATTACACAGTCTATGTAACTGAGCTTGTTCATCTTTGTCAATGATGCTGCAATTTATAACAAAACTGAGTCTTATTCTAATGCTTTTCATGCAGCTGAAGATCTCGCTCTGCGGTAAAGTTTTCGATGCAATTTTCCTGAGAGAGAAAATTTCAAAAGCAACGTTGAAATCACAGTTGATGGGAAATTTTTCGTTTTCCAGTGAGGTAAGCTACTTAGACCCTTACATGTTATGTGTACAGTTGTAGTGGCGAGGTATTTTTCTTCTTCAACAGAGTTATATAGCTTTCGCTGATAACTAATGCATTTCAAGAAGTGCACTTGTAGGCAAATTGTAGTTTTAATATATATTAAAGTATAAAAAGGTGCTAAATTGCACATTTTAGGTATGAAACGTGAATTCCCGATATTCGAAAGGGTAAGGGTGTCAAGCCAGTGAAAAATGTCAATTTGTCTGTTTGTTTTTATCAAGTAGTGATATCACGTTTAGAAGAAAGTTTAATATGATAAGAAAAAAAACTATTTAACTTCTGTAGATTTCAATATTGTTGATGTTTAGCTGTGGAAGTCAATATATTTACTATATAATCTTGAAGACTATTTTGAATCATAGTTAAATTTCTTCGTTTTGCTATCTTTCAAATATTTCGAGAACTTGATTTATCGAATGAAACAAAGAGGTTGATTTTTTAGTGATAAACTGATTTAACATATTCAGAAAATCTTCTAAATTTCAAAGCTCGTAAATAATAACTTGATGGCTTGACAAATATTATGATAAAGGCAAATCTGTCTCGACATTTTCGTTAATCTAGCAGCCTTATGTGACTATCTTTCTGTCTAAATAAGTTGGAATTTATATTTTGGCATAAATTTCTGCTCACTTTTCGTGATTATCCGACGTTTGAACGCCTTAGAAGACGGGAAGTACTTTAATATGCTATGTTTTTGCCTTTCCATGCTATCTTTAAAGAGAATAAAATCGTTTTCGAGTCTGAACAATTATTTTATACTACCATATAATCAACTGACTGCAACGACGCAATCACACATGTAGACGAAAACAAGTTAGAAAGACGCATCATGCATCCCAAAAGGAACTACCTAGCAAGGACTAAAACAGCACACATAATGCAAGTTAACATCATAAGACTAATCATTAGAAAACATTGAAATGTAACAATCATTCAAAATTAACATAGACATCGATTGCTCCACCTACTGATATTTTATGAAAATAAAAATTAGATGAGTGTGAGAGAGAACGGCTGCAGGTGAATTAGACAGTCATAAGGAAATGCAAAAGTTTTGTTAGACTTGTATCAGAAATTCATGGTCTCTTTTTGTTTTCTTATGTTTGTTATATTTTCACCGTTGTGTTATGTCTTACACAGGCAATATGATGAAGGGTACTACCACGACAGAATATTTAGAACAAATTTAATGAAGCTTGCCAAGTGTTTGTACCCTTAAATCATTCTCTTGCAACTTCAACATTTTTTGTGGATGAATGTAAAACTCCGGGATTCACCCCTGATTTATAGATATATTATATAACACATATGTTTACAAAAGACGTCTTTTAACAAACCTTTCCATGCCTAAGGAGAACATGCCCTTTTGTCAGAATTGTATTCAAGTCTGTCCAACCTATAGATCCTGCAGATGAGGCTTAATTCACTACACCCCTGAGAAAATCTTCTCATCAATGTCCACTAACTTGAATCAAAACAAAATATAACTGAGACCTTTAACATTCTTTTGTATGCTATGAAGCTGCGTTTCCAGCTAGAATTGGATTTTTAATTCAATGTAATGTTTGTCTTTCACTGCTATGGCGGCAGGTACAGCGAAAATCATTATCTTTACTATGGAAATTCTCTGTGTGGAAGTATATATTTCGCAAAACGTAGATCACTTACTTCTCAAAACCTATTCTGTCACACGATTAACTGCAAAATGCACTATTTACTTAAAAGGGCCTCAGTTAAAAAAGAGATTTAGTCAAATCTGAGCATTTATGTTTATGGAACATTGGCTTTGCTCTGTCAGGTAACAGATTAATCCATCCACTTAGAATTTTTTCCTAGCACTTTCAGTTTAGGTGGCACCAACTGAATTTTGATCGTTACAGACATCCATTAATGAACTCTCCTTCACGTGTGTAATGAATGGAGCTTGGAGACAGCCATAATTTCGTTTATGGAGAGAAATGGGATTGTTTTTAATCTTGGTTGGTCAACATTCACTTTGTAAGGTCGTTTCATATCGAGTTGTGGATCCATATATCAGATTTAATTGCCATTTACTTGTACACAATTATTATTACCTACGTATGCTCAGTGTGCTGCTAGGCAAATGAAAAAGTTTGCTGATTAATGTAGCATGGTTGAGTATTGTAAGGATTCCACATATTTATTTTATCTTTTAGCTGACATTTCAGAGAACTTACTATTCGTTCATTTTAGTATAAAGTTGTTTTTAAGTACTTATTGGCTATATAAATTAAAAAACTTATTCTAGGAATTTTAGGAGCCTAAATTAACTTTAACTACCATTCATATAAAATCCTGTTTCGACTAACTGAAAAAAAAACTTTTTCTACACATACTTTTACAGTAGATGTTTTTGCTTGATATTTGGCAGCATTCTTAATTTTATGTCCGGACAACCTCAAGCCTCATCCGAAGAAACTCCTTTTTTGGGTTCCTTTATTTTGTTATAATTTCAGTACCAAACTTTGAATATTATCTGAATATTTAACTTTTATTATTAAAGATGATCCACTTTCAGAAATTTCATACAATTGTTCTCAACCCGTCCATTTATAAAAAAACTATCGTCTTTTCTAATTTCACTAAAATCCTCTAATTCTGTATCAGATAATTAGAGGAAAAAAGTCATCAACATAGATATTGAACAGAGAGCTTAAAATGTAAATATTCAAATCGTTAACAATTAGTTCAGATACTATCTAACGACATAAACGTTATCTAAACTCTCATCATAGACACTTATGTTTATGGTGGCCTAATAGGCAGATTGTAGATAACTCAAAAACGATGGTGTGCATCAAACGTAACTTTACATAACTCAACTCATATGATTCAACTAACATAACAATATATATAGGGACTGGGTCCTAGCGTCCTTTTGCTAAACAAAATATTACAATAGACCCCAGGGTGATATTAACTTTTAAAATAAAATTTCTACTTGCAGCAAAAAATCCAACATTTGCAAAGTTTTGACCACGAAAATATAGTTTTTCATTCAAATTTTGCTTTAATCACAGAAACGAGTTTTTCTATTAAAAGTGAAATTTAATGCAGATATTTGAGGAACTAGTCGCTTGAAGATGTATATTTTCTTAAATTAAGTTTTGAATTAGAAATCTTACTACACACTTTCATTTCATAAAGAGAAAATTTATAAGATATCGAGGCTCGAGTTTGGTGAAATTTTAGAACTAATTGAATATAATGGCAAAGCCTAAACTTTTTTGGCAATTTGACTTTTAAATCCTAATGAGTTTTAATGCAAACAAGAGCAGCGTGAACATCACGCCAAATGATTGAGAAACAGACATAAAGCTTTTATTTCTGAGACAGTAGCATATATTCTTTCTTTAGAATGATTCTAGGCACAGGATCGCAAATTTTTACTTTGGTTTTGATTTTTTTCAAATTTGTCACATTTGTAGACCTTGATTTTCCATATATATCAAAGATTGAAATTCGTGGTCTTTCTTCGTAGATGCTATCAATCACATTTTTGCAGCAATATCTATTGAACCCATCTTTTATTACAAATGACAGTAAAGCATAGGTCTATCCAACATTAACTCAACCATTGCATTGAATTGAAAGACCGTTCTGTAATGACAATTCTGAACAGTTAAAGTGTTTAATTAGCCTCTTTTCACAGCACTGTTTGTCTCGTTTTACTTCCTTGCCTTTGTACATATCCGTATCCATCCATTTACACGGCGTGGCGCCGACAGAGATGTATGTCTCAAAATAGTTATGTCTTCTGATTCAAACCTGCGAGCTAAAAGAAATCGATAAAACTACGGTGCTATTAAGGAATATGATAAGCAGATAACCTCCTTATTCTTGAGAAAAGTTTTTGGGTAAGTTGTTTTCCTTTGACAAGAAATTTTGCAAAACATATCTAAAATAATTCACAATGTATTTCGTCTTCATTACTTTCTTATTACGAATGTTGTTATCATAAGAGTTTTCGATAGAAATATGAAATAAGCGAGACAACTGTAACTGGCTGTAACCTTAATTACGAGGCAACAATTTTTCGATTTTGATTGCCAACTGCGTGAATTTCATCATACATGTTAAAACCACTACAATTATGTTAAAGTCTCGACCACGAAAAAATATTTTGATTGATCCTTTTGTCCACTTCTTGGTGGAAGGAAATCCAAAGCCAACCATTGATTTTAAGTGTTGACTGCATCTTCACTGACAAACACTTTCTCTGTATCCCAGTTCTCTATCAAGCCCCACACTTTTTAATCATCCATTGTGACTGGATCAAGAGCAACTATTCCATAGATAGATCTCTCCTTTAATTGAGTTGCTTTTTTCAAAAAATGTGTTAACGTATCTTCGAAAGAACTAATATAAATGTTGTACTTTGAGATCCATACAAGAAATATATTTCGTTTTAACAAAATAGCAACCAGCATCTACCCATAGGTAAACAAAACTCATTGTCTATATAAAGTTCTTAGCAACAGTTCCTTGTAGCCTGCTTCATCACAGTACTTCACAACATCGCTTTAGCTTTTCTCATCTATGGCTTTTTTACATTCCGATCTACATATGGTTCAACCGTATCATAATATCAATGTATTCTACCTTACTGTAGAGCATTTAACTTTGTGCATGATCTCAGAAACAGTAAGTTTGATTTCAGAGCAGACATAGAGTCGTTGAAGTTCCACTAGATCAGTTGCCTCCTTAAGCATAGCAATTTTAATATTTACTGATCTTCAAGAATATAAAGATTTGTCACCACGGCACGTCAGAGTCGGAGGCTGGGGAGAAGGGCGACTCGTTTTTTTATTGACCTACCACCTTAATATCATGGCATCAAAGATGATGGTGGGAAAACAACTATACACGTTTGCCGATTTGTCTAGAGCGCCCCTCATCACCCCACCCCAAACTAAGAATTGAGTGATTTTATTATTCGGCCTTAGGTTTTACATGTTTCCTTACTTTAACATTTTGTGTTTTCTTGAAACTGTTACATTAAGAAACGAAAATTCTGGTTGGATTTATTTTCGGCGAAGCAGGGCAACCAAAAATAATTCCCGCCGAATGTTTTTGAAACCGAAATTATTTCGTAAAGAAATTTTCCAACTTTAGAAAATCGCATTTTAAACTAATAGGCTTTTGAATTAACAAAAACCTCGATAGTGCTTGAGCATTGCTATTCATCCAAAACATATCAATTTTCAGTTTCTGGTTCTGTCCTCAGCTAATCCACACTTCCTTCTCTTTTGCCCTATATGTACAATTTGCTCTCTTTAGCTGAACTGATGCTTCTACTGGCTTTTCACAATTATTTCTTTTTAACTTTAGCGAGGTTTTAATTTCGACTCACAATCGATTAGCATTTTTAATGTTGCAATTGGCGATCGAAAATATTGCAAACTGTAAACCCTTCAAATTAAATTTCCACCAAAAAACCTTCTCTAAGAGTTTATGACATTCTTGTCTTCTCTTCAGTTCCTTTTATTGGGCTGGCATCAAAATATTCTATATTTGTATTTCTTCTAGTTGCTTTCTAGATAATTTAATGTTCAAAATATAATCAACATACAGAGAATGTTTAGATCTTTAATACACAGAAATTTGTTTTTCCATAGAAGTTGTTCAAGCTCTCATAAAAATTTACCATGAAATTTAAAAGATATGACTGGAATTTTATCCACCGTAAATTAATCCACGCTATTTTTGGCACCAGACTTTTGGTTCTTATTTTATTCCCTTCCCTCCGTTGCAGATAACATGTAGCTTAAAGTGCCAAAATAAACAGAGCTGCAGTAGTGCCATCGTTGATATTTTGGAAAATCGCTGCCTGTTGCTTACGAGTTCCCTGACAATCAATGAAAAATACTGTACAGAAACCAAAGATGAACATACAAAGATGATCTTTCTTCGTGAAAAGGTATTTAACTCATTCATTTATTATTCACAATTTTCAAATCACTATTCACTTTCATCCCATTTAAATTTCAAGGGCACTGTCAAAAAGCATTAGACTCTAAAAGATCTTGTAATTAGATTTATGCTAAAATACGAGCATAAAAGTACAGGGGATTGAATTTTGACGTAAAAATGAAATTTTTAATTAAAAAATCAACGCAGGATTGTAATTGAAGATAATATTTGAAATTCTAGTTAATTCATACCTTTAGAATAAGATCCTTTGGGAAGCGGGAAATTAACTAAAATCATGATTGTAAAAGGCGATTATGTGAAATTAGAGGATTATTGCTAAGTATTTCCAAGTGTTAATTCGATTATAGCAAGACTATGACAGTAAATTTCTAGTTTTGAAAGTAAACCATCTGCAATACATTTATTTCATCGGATAAGGATTTCAAGCTTTGCTTTTATCCGACATCCAAGAAAACACGCATTAAGTTAAGGAATCACGAAAAAGATTGAAACTGCGCAGCAGCAAATACTAGTTTGCGTCACAGACCATCACCCTGTGCGATCACCACCAAGGAGGAGACCGCTAGCAAATACTTTCTTTTCAATCCATTGCAAAGGGGAAGGGGTTTGAGCGTCTCATGTAAATCAAGACTCTCAGTGTAACTGTATCTTTTCGAAGGGGGTAGGGCCAGCAATCAACAGCGCTAGCATAAATCTGATGCACTAGCAAATGTAGACATTTTAGTTCTTTGCCCTTTCGGTAAGTCGCAGTTTCTCCTCGCGAAAAACAAGTGTGATTTCTTATTACTTTCTGAGCCATCACAACTTTAGGATAAAAGGAAATATTTGGTTGGTCGTGAATACATGTTTGACTTGCCAAGAGTGATTTTTTGACCCACTGTTAAGCTAAATTTGTTGACCCACAGTCAACAGAGCAAATTTTTTTCATTGATTGTCAAACCCCTTTAGCAACGGATCTCACAGTGAATGGTCAAAAAGCAAAAGCTTGTTCAAGGCAGCATCTCTCCGTTTCTCAAACATCAAGCGATGACTGCTTCGTGTTTCTTTAGTTTGAGAAAATTATTTTTCAGAATCTCCCGTGTGGGGAAGAAGGGTGCAAGAATGGAGGTCGATGCTTGGCAGTGGGTGAAATCATTTCTTGTCATTGCCTTGGTGGATGGACTGGAAGTCACTGTGAAATTAAAGGTACTGGAGCAACTTACATTCAGTTATGCAACACAACCTATACAATCATGTTCTTGTGCTACAACTTGTCACACAAGTGTAGTTCTCAAGTCTTTGTATAAGATACAAAGAGGAGCATCTTTGCTACTGACCTCACATGTTAATTTGAAATTTATCCTGCTTTGTGCGACTTCTGACTGTCTGCCACTTGGATTCGATTAATGATAATTGAACGGTCAACCAGTGCTTGTAAAGTCAAGTGGTGCTAACGACTTCATATTACCCCTTCCCACATTTCGTGAAGACTCTAATTCTATGGCCTTTAAATGCAAAGAGACATTGCCATTTGCTTTATTTAAACAGCAGAACTCTAACTGCAGTGATGATGATGTCATTGGGAGAGTTTGTCAAATAAAAATTCAAAGCAACTCTTTCAAAACATTACTCGTTAAAAAGTTGAATAACAGTGAAAGAAAGATGAGTTTTATCTGACAATTGTAATTTAGCAAATAAACCAAAAATACGTAGCTGCATAGTAACGCTGAGTTACTGTAATGCAAATTTATAAGCCAATTACGGAATTATCTCTATAATATGCAAAAACGTTTACGAAAATCGGATCTGCTTTAATTTGGTTCATAAGAAATTTATAGTTGCACTTTTACTGCAGATGGTCAAGAGATCTGAAATTAAATTCTTTTTATTAACTGTAATTTCAATTGCAAGAGAGTGCAAATGCATAGCTCAAAAAGCAAATTAAAGTTGATTTGGTCTTGGCAATAAAAATTAGAACACTTTTGCTTTTGTTCAAAAGACGCATCATTATGTTCAACAGGTCACCCACCTCTAAGAAGCATGAAAACGAACAGAAATTTGACAAGACAATTTATCTTTTCTAGCGTGTAGGTCGCCTGCCTAAAGCTCAATTAGAATACAACCTGTTTTGCATATTACTGATTACTTACTTCCATGAAAGACTTGTTAGTTTAATAAATGTATTACGTGCTTGTTTTCCTTTAAATCGGTATATGCCTTAGGCTAGCTGTGATCGAAAAGGTGCGATAAAGAAAAAAAGGCTTATTTTAAGGTTATTTGAGGATCTTCTACAAAATGAGATTAATCTAATTTAGATTGTCTCACTATCAAGAAGACATGAGTTTTCTATATTTTTTTTCAGTGACTGGCATCAGCTGCCTTGACATAAAAAGAAAGTTCATTGGCTTAAAGCTAATCAATGGCATTTACCAACTCCAGTGGAACGAAAGCAATTCATTTGATGTTTACTGTGATATGAATAGAGATGGAGGTGATGTTTCAAATCAAGTTCCAATTTAGAAATTATAACCGTATTACTTGTCACAAGCCTTTTGGCGTTGAATTCATTCCAAATTAACGAAAAAACTTACTATTTGCTGTTAATCATGTACCCCTTAAACGGAAGACAATAGAGTACCGAAGTGATGACGTCATAAAAATATTTTTTTAGATTTTTTTAACTTTCATCCTTGAACCTGAAAGAGCATCATGAAATACCGCTAAATCTGCAAAATCAGTTAAAGGCATTGCGAATTGGCTGAGATATGGCCACCTGAGCACAGGCCCTTGCCCCATCAAACCTCTGCAATTTGGTCTTGGTTCATAACTTTATGAACCAGGCCAAAATAACAGTGATGTTAGCAAAATCAATATTTTTAATTGGCCATATTTCGCCCAATTTTGAACATATCTAACTGATTTTGCATGTTGAGAGGGATTTTATGCTGTTCGTTTAGATTATGTGGTCAAATTTAAGAAATTCTAAAAAAAGATTGTTGATGACGTCAGACTTTGGTAATCTATTGTAAGGCATGGGTAATGTGTTCTGTTTGAATAATCACGCAATTTTAAAGTTTTGGACAAAGTTATTTTAACAAGGATGCTTTGAAATTTTTCAAGCCTCGAAGTTCTTAAGAAATTTTCGTTATGAGCCTGAATACAATCTTAACTAGTTCTTTTTTTAAAATTTGATAAAATATTTATCGCCCGCTCTTGAATAAAAACCACTGTTTTTGGAAACGATATATGTCAGTTTTGCGATTCCCTGTCATGAACATCTGAAAACAGACAACTGCTGGAAAATGAAACACAAATATGCGAGCTGAAGCTGAGCAATATTCTCGTATTCTTCTTAAATATCGGATGACTCTGAGCCTGAATATTCTTATAAATATTATTCTAATATAAGAAAAATTATGTGTACCCGACTATTTTACTTGATTAGTCTACGACGACACCAGGAATAACTTCCTACATCATCCAATTAAGGGTCTGTATTAGACGGTTTTCACTGGTACATGAACTGACAATATTTAAAGAATCTGTATATGGGTTGATATTATAAGATCTTCGATTAATTGTCGTAACTTTTATAATTTTAAGGAAATTCTCGTTCATTTTTCTCTTAGTTATTATCCTTCAAAGGAACTTCATGTTCATTTTCCTCTTAGTTATAATCCTTTTAAAAAGTTATTACTCTTAGTTTTCTTAGTTATTTTTCTTATAAGAAAGTTCTCGTTCATTTTTGATAGGGGGCTGGACAAGAGTGTTACACGTAGTAGCAAATACTACAGATCCAAAACTTGTCACCTATCAGAGCTACGACTCCATTCAAAGCGCGGGAACACAAGGAAATTATTATGTAACGAGACTTGGCTTGAAGCTTCTGAAGAGCAGTATAAAGTTTCAACAGTTTTTCTTTTACTGCAAGAACAATATAGAGAACAAAGTTGTGAGCTTCAAGTCCTTACAGAATGCAACACATGTTGTCAAATACCTGACTGGTGAAGTAACAGAGCAGCCAAACGCATGTGGAACATTTGCAAGGTAAGAATGGGTGATTCAAAATTAAATAAAATTGTTATAAAGTCTGTGCAAAGGTTTTATAAGTTGTCCTTGTATAAGGAAGGGAAATTTTATTGCAAACTGTTTTGGGATTTGACCTCTTGAACATTAGCAATCGAACAATTCAAAATGTACTTGTGCTGGATTTTGTAATTTTTGCTTTCTTTCTTTTGCTGAAAAAAGAAAAGGTGTTTTCCTGACGACTAGTTTCTCAACGCACTTGTACAATTTATTGTTTCCTTAAATAATCAGTAGAAGTGTGTGAAAATTCCAACCTTTGGCCAAATATGATCTAATAGAAGTCTCTACCAAAATACACTCATTTTTTTATAAGAAACTGGCTATAAGAAACGAGTACTGGACAGTCAGAAAAAAATAAGAAACTTCAGTACTCGAAGCAAAAAAATTAAGAAACTATTATATCGTAATAAAACTGAGAACAACGAAATTTTGTAAAATCCAAGAACAAGATTGGCCTAGAACTAAAGTCACATAGGAAAAAAATATACTTTCCACGTCTAAATACAGCGTCAGAACGGAAGCGAATCTCTTGACGTGATAGAAAAGGTCACGAACATTTCATAACATCATTCATGACATCATAATTAAGAAACTCTTAAGAAACAATTGAGTATTGAAATTTCCAGAACATTAAGAAACTGGAGTACTCAACTTCGACCTCTGTTTCTTATAAAAAAAACGAGTGTAGCAATATAGAAGAAAGAATTTGGATTATTATTTATTATTTGCATACTTCTACAGGCAACTAATAAACATTGAGAAAGGAAATGCTTTGCATTTATTTACTCGTCTTCCTATTTATGACATTGTCTTTTTCGATGAATAGATTTCAAGACGATAATTCGATCCTGACAGCAAACTGCACGGAAATTCACGAAGCCAAATGGGGATCAAAATACAGTACAACTTATGCTGATCATGCGTTATTCATCTTTGCTAAAAGACACTATCTTCTATCTACAACTGAGCGTAGAAGTGAATGTGATAATTACTTCCCATCAGCTATAGACAAGAACGATACTTGGGATGTATTTGTCAGGTAAACCTGGCCAATTGGACTCTGCTTTTGGAAAAAGAACGAACATAGCTATGCACTTTTCTTCTAACTAGCATTACCTGTTCACATTATTTTGAGCTTGTAAATATCAGCACTAGAACTTAAATATATAGTTCTGCATTTTTCTTGATAATTTCGATCACCGAAGAGGACCTTAGCGGCCCCCGAGTATAGTACAGAAGATTTTAGCAACAATTGTTCACTTTTTGATAAAAGCATGAAACTTGGTGAAGATACTCATTTTGATGTGGTGAAAAAGATAGGATATGGAGGCATCCTCAAAAATTCACTTAACATTTAGTAGATGATTGTGAAACTCGAAAATTGTGAAAAGCTTTATCCCTTACATGTTCAAGTCTTGATTAATAGGAATAAACTTTCTACGTATGGAAAAATCAGCTATGAAGAAGAGGTGATAAAAACAAGTTGAACTCAAATGTTATCTGTTGAAAATCATACACACTGATTCAAATTTGCAAAGGAGTTTATCAGAAAACTTTATGTTTTAGTAAGGACTAAAACATATTTTTATTGCTAATATAAAGGCTTGTTGTGTTTTTCCACGGTGCCATAGCAGGGGCAGTTCGGGCACCTGACTCTGCATGGCTTAGTGAATCAGTAATTCTTTAGAAAATTTTATGGAAAAAACTATTTTTCAAATCATTTTAAATTCTGAGAAAGTATATTATTGTCGCTACCAAAATGTGGGAGGGCTTTGCTTTTCTCATTAAAAACTTCACAGCTAGAGCAGGTCACATCCCAATGAAACTTACAAGTGGATACCTCTGAATGGCTGGATGGCCGAAATACAAACAATCCATCTAATTGGTTAGACAAACTTTACCCTTGCTCATATAACTGAAAAGATCTGAATCATGAGCCAAAGTAAATTTAACCAGCTATGTATTAAACTTCTGAAAGAAGGATACAACTGTATAATGGATTTTAAAACAGATTTTAAAAAAAATTCCTCAACTGAGGAGTGTTGGTTTAAAAGCGGTAGAGCCCAAAAAGAACTGTCTTATCGAGAGACTCTGCCAAATTTGAGAAAGTTGGAATATTTAATAACAACTTGCTTCAGCTATCTCTGGTTTTAAAAATAGTTTGAGTTTATTTTGAATTTTTTCAATTTAATTCAAAGTAAATTTGTTTACATACATTTGGTTTGTGAGGACAAGAGAAGTGTACCAAAATGTTATCTGTGGGATCTAATTTAAACCAAGAGAGGAGCCGCCATAAGATAGGATATTTTTATTATTTTAATTAATTAACAAAAGACAATTCAATTAGACTTCCAGTAATTGTTTAGTAAATTTTCAAACACTCTCAGATTCAAGCGACCACGTAGTATCTTCTCCAAACTTTTTTCCCACCTCTACCTAGTATCTTCTCCAAACTTCTTCCCACCTTTACATACTTCTTATGATCTTGAGGTGCCTGCTAAGCACTGCTAAAAAGGTTAACCAACACACATGGTAAAAGAAATACAATGCCATTTCATAAGTGCATGTACTGCCAAGAAAAGTGCATAATATTACTTTCCAGGTTCTTGGAGGCAAAAGAAATTTGATAGCTGGTGCAAGGGGTTGCATTACTCTAAATAATCACCTTACAGATTTATATCTCAATAACAAAGTATTTGGTGGGAAAGAAGCCAATATATCACTCTCCATGAGCCCCTGCAATTATAAATGTTTTCAATAGCTTTGATAAAACTAATTGCTGCTTCAAAATTACTTACTCCTTATACGTTAACAGTCTGCAACATTAATTAATGACTAAGAATTTGATAAAATCCTTGGACTAGTGAACTAGCACAGAATACACTACAAGGCTGCTAGTAATCTCATCAGCGTTCACAGATCTCACCATCAGAGCTACAACTGTTCCTTCTTTCTTCACCATCAGAAGCCTGGTTATCATTTGGTGCTGCATGAAGCTGCAAAGTCTCAACTGAAATTCCTGATCGAAGTGCAACTTCATTGGTTGCTTCTAGCTTGACCTTGGGGGCTTTTCCTGCCCTCCTTGCCTGTTCCCACCTTGTTGAGCATAAACACCAACTGTCCCCTGGTTTCAGCCCTGGAAAGTATTGATTTGGTGTTGATAGATCATTACCCAAAGATTTAGTATATTCTAAAAACTCCCTTGTCATTGTTGCACAAACAGTGTGTAGGCCATGGTCTTGTGTGTCTGTGCGGCAATATCCATCTCTATACCAACCTAGATTGAAAGAAATAAAAGTTTCCCATGTGATATTGGCAATGAAAATAGCCAAAAATAAAGTTCCTAGCTTAGGCCTATTAAAAAATTTGAATGTTCAATAGGTGAAGTTCATACCGGTCATTGGGGTTGTCGAGCAAGGCATGAGATTTGATCCAAACACGTTTTTCTGGCTCATCGTAGATTCTCCCTTTGTAAAGAATTTATTGGTTTGAAAGGTCACGAAAATAATGAATACCGCAAAGAAAATACGAAGACTCATCTTTACAAGTCACGATAACAACAAAGCAGCACACGTAGTGAATAAACAGATGTTACGTAACTTAAATTCAAACTCAAGAATCGTTGAAACAAAAGTTGATAAAGTTGGAAAAGTTAATACCTGCCGGTATAGTCACCAATGGCCTATTCTTGGTTGCAGCAAAGTTCAATGGGTTGAAAACACTGCTATTATTTTTATATTGGTGATTGTGGTCCTTGAAAAAGGGGGCGGGAAAAATAGGGGCTTCGATACAGCCTCGTTTGCGAACAAGGATCATCGTAACAAAGATGGCGCTCGATATGTTGTTGTTTTTGGAGTATACTGAACCCGTACCATGTAAAAAGGGAAGAGTTGAAATTGCTGTCCAATAAAAAAAGTAGACAAAACGTGTTCTTCAAAGTAGGACATAGTGGTAAGCATTCTTTTCTTCAAACTGACAGTTTTAACGGGACGACAATCAATGACGCCAATTTATGCCTTTGTCAATATGTGTAAGTCCTCACACAGAAGAATCCGGACAGTTCAACGATCGATTGCCCTTTCGAGCAAAAAAAATTCAGGCTTTCGATAACGAGTCTTTAATTTAATGATAATAATTATTTGAGAACCCCTTCCAAAATGAACCAAGACGGTAAAATGTTGCGAAACTTCTGCATCAGCTTTTCACCTGTTATCATTTTTTTGCTAAAATAAGAAAACCTTGTGCGCTACAAGCCTTACACAAATAGACTGATATTAAATCAATGAAAAATGGCAAGGTGACTGAGACCAGTTCAGTCAAGATTAGTCCCCTACCTACAAAACTATTGTCGATTTAGACAAAACAGAAACTTTCTTCTTTTATCTAAAATATCAAATGAATTAGAAGTAAGCACCAGGCCAGAAAAATCCTGCAACCCTTCGGTCTTTGGAAAACAAGAAAATTTTGCCATTTTTATGATTACAAAAAAAGACTGCCTTTTTTAATTGAACTGGTCATAACAAGCTTTACCCAACCCCCTGATTGGCTTTCACAATTTGAAATAAACAATTAAAATACTTTTAAAAGGCTTGGAGTTTAGCAGAATAATAAATTTATCTGATACGATTAATTACAATGGTGCTGATAGTGTTGGAAATTCAAATTGATTGCTTTAAAGAATTTGTTCTACAAGTAAATCACATTCTAAACTAAAAATTCAGGCTCATGAAGATACAAAATTTTCAAAGATTAATAGAAATTGGCTTTTTTCTCTAATTTTAGATGCCTATCACACAGAATATTTTGCTTGCTACACTTGTCTGCAGCTCAGTTGGAGCAACCTTTGTAAATAAGGTAAGTCCATTCAAAAACAATATTACCTGTATCATACCTTGTTGTTCACTTAAGAGAGAGATCAGAAGGTTACATGCTTCTTTATGAGACATTGCTATTGACATTGACAAAATTCTGTAAACAAAATGCTCAGCGTAAGAAAATTTGCATAAAATAATAATATTTTTATAGAAAAATTTTACTGTGAGGAAGTATAAGCATTGCAAATTAAGGTTTCTGCTTCAGTACATTTGTCAGTGTTGCATCTCAGAACCACGATTCTAATTTTTTGGATATGAATTCTAGGTTAGCCTTGTAATACAATTTCTCCCCCAATGAGTGTACACCATCAGAAGTCTTTAATCTAAAAGAGACAACATAAAAAGACAGCATGTTATAGGGAGGTACTCTCTACCAAACTGAAGTATGCCAGGCTGCAGCAAAAAGTCTGTGAAGAAACCATAAATCTTTGAACATGTGGGATATGAAGAGTAGTTATTTTATCTTAGCAAGACCTAGGTAATATGCTATTTAATCGAATGCCTGTTTAGCAATAGATTCTTTTACATTTCATGTCATTTTGCCTGCCCTTGTGATTTAAATCAAAAGTAAATAGTTCCTTATTTATCCAAAGATTATATCCTTATATCTTTGAATGTTGGAGTAACCTCTGAATAAAACCTAATACTGGGTTGATAAAACTACCAAGATTTACAGCTCCTTTTGAAAAAATTAACTATAGTCCAGTGGTGTATGTTTAGTTCTATAATTTCAAGCAACTGCCTGTTAGCAAATTACTGGTATCAAATTGCCAAGCCTGCCTTGCAGTTTTTGCTTTCATTGCTGCGTTTATAAACAAAGGAAATGATACAACTTCAAACAGTATAAACATTGATGGGGAAGCCTTGTGTTATTTCTATCTCAAGACAATCTTCTTAAATAAACATGTCACAACAGTAAATACTCTGGGCAAAAAACTCAATATCTGTAGAATTTAAGAAATTTTTTAACCTTTTTTCATTTGGGCTTTGCTTTGATATTTGAATAATTGTGTCAACCATTCCTTTCCAGTTTGCAAAAGGTCGAATCTTTTATTCTTCTAAGAAATATGGTGTTTTTGTTTTCAGTATGTCCTGTCTGTTCTTAAGTTCACATATCCAACAGTTTATCAAAGGTATGCTAACTCTTTTCTTGGTAAAGATCAAATAAACTTCATTTTGCAAAAGCTAGAATTAGATATTTACAATCTTCTATAATCAGAGAGTCTATGTTAAAATGTAGTGATGCTTCTCCACGCTTTCTCAATGAAAAATTTTATCTGATTGTTATTAGAGATCACCTTACTAATTACTTTATGATCATAATATGAAAATGCTGGTTATTCCAAGTACAAATATCAACTGTCTTTAGAAATTATTAAAGGATGAGGCTTTAGAAATATATGAACAGTGTCACAACCTGTAACAAGAGTTTTGTGAAGATGTCCATCAAATCAGTATGTTCATTCAACTCTGGTATTTCATCTACTTTGTGATTTTGTTTGCAGTTGGCAGACCGGAGTAACAGCAGCCATCTTGCTTTCTTTATCTGCTTTTGGTTTGATACAGTTCGCAGTGATTGACAGGTAGCTGTTTTTCTTATCCATATCTGTTTTGAAAGCCAAATGTTCTAATGTGGTTTTAAAATTCGATATATGTCTGTGTCAGCAAAACTATCATGCATAAATCCCCCAAGGCAGTGTTTCTAAAATTCTAATTTTCATCTACATATCAAGTAGAATGGTCTGAGAGTTTGTCGATATTCTAGGCAGTCTTCCAAGCATTGGATTCCTGCAATGTGCTTCTTTACTGTTGGTATATATTCTGGGTCGAAGGCTTTATCAAGGCTTGTGAGTATTTCTTGTGCAATTTATTATAACCCTTGTTTAATTAAGTGATCAGCAATTCCGGGAATATATGGATTAGATAATAATTTATAATGAACTGTAATGTATGGTCTTTGTAGCATTATCAAGCAAAGATCATTCCTCAGCAACATTTCTTGTTTAAATTCGCTCCCTTTATGTCTTGTTCATCTTTTTACACATTCATATGTTGACAAAATGTGTGTTTTACAGGAAGTATGGTTTTTAAAATCAATAGAGGTGCCAAGCTGCTTAAATATAATTTGAATTGCTCCCTGTTTGGAGTTTTTCCTGCCAACTCTTTGTTCAGTTAGCCTTGAATGTTTTTGCTGTCAAGCATTTCACATGCTCATGCAATGCTTCCCTTTCAGCCAATCCCAATATTTTTTACGATGTTACATCTAGTCCATGTATCAATTGCATTTGTAGATGAAATATACTTTAGAAAGGTCAGTTGGCATCAATAGTTATTCTTTTACCAGGTCGAGCTCTTTTTCTAGAACTATTTAATTTGGTAGTTGTAATTCTAAGGTCATAGCGTAGTGTTTGAAAATAAAAACTTCAGCCATCCTAGTTTCTACAATACAGGTCATGTTTTAAAAGTGTATATATTTCTATTAATTGTAGTCCAACGTTGTTTGAATGGGAAAGGGGAGACTACTAATGTGAATTACAATAATGCTGTTGGTGTCCCAAGACTTGTGGCAGGCACTGTACAATGCACCAGCCATCTGTCTGTTTGGTACTTTAAAGATGTGTATATATAGACTTATATAGCGGCCTAGCCATGTGTTAAAGTTTGAAGGGGCGACAAACGGTGACTTTGCAAAGAGCAATATTGTATTCTTGTGAAGTTAAGCAATTTCGCTTTATCACACTTTTAATTTATGCTGGAATAACTTTTCTGTTAATACAGACTCAGTATAAAACGTGCTATTCAAAATGGAGAAAGAGAAAACGCATAACTATATCAGACAAAAGATATTTTTAAGATTACAAGAAGATAAACTTTTCAGCTATTCAATGGCTAGATCTTACTGTTAACGCTGTGATAGAAAGTTTGCTAGAAATGCGAGGTTTTAAGATTGGGCCTTTGAAAAGTCTCCTAAAAACGTCGCGTTTGTAAAGATTAGACAAGGAATCATTGTGCAGATATGAAAAGGAGCCTCGACTTTCTTTACTCATGCATTTCGATTTATTGTTACTTGGAAATACGGTTTGGTGATGGTATTAATTTATTTTCAAATTTAACGTAATATAGACGTAATATAGATTGATATAGATTCAGATTTTTCTGCTATTTCCAAACAAATTTCGCATTTTTTCTCCTAGCATAATTCACCTTTGTCGTTATTTGGCGCGATTTTGGGACTTGTTGGATTAGCTGTTACAATCAAAAGTGACACAGAGGTACATAATGTTTCTTGTCCTAAACGCTTTTGCAGGCATAATTTCTTGTTGACATCACCTTTGTGGAAGACATTATGAGAACATCTCGTGTTTTTAACTGGGTTCAAGTGAACATTTGACAAGATCTTTATAATTTTTTTTTTATTCATAGAAATTAATAACAATACAATTTTACTTTGACTAAACTACCCTAATTACTATACTTCACTACGGGGACGATACCATGAGGAGCGAAAGACAATGACTACACTATGGCCGATACATAAAAAGACACAACATTAAACAAGGATAGAAAGAAGGATAACTAAAACTAGGTAGACTAATTACGAATACAGAGTAAACAGACAAAAAGTAGATGCTTATGTATAGAAGTGTGCAGCAATGGAATATTTAAAAGCGTTCTGAAGCATGAACGAATTTGAGCGTTGCCTGAAGTAGCTTCTTATTTGAGTCAATGGTTAGTCGCTCGTCACCATACAAAATTAATTTGACTAAAGCTTCATTTGAAAGAGACGAAAAACCATGAAGGAGCAATATTGCATTCACACCACTGAGAAGATCAGATCTAGGCCAGTTATACGAATGACAGTGCGGCAGGAAATGTTCCGTGTCCTCTACCCCATCATTTGCGGGACACAAAGGGTTGAATGTATCTCTAAAGTTATGTCTATATTTATGATAATTTAGTTTGCTCAGTCCTACCCGTAACTGAGTAAGAATAGCTAGATCTTTAGGATCATGAATACCGTATACTATAAATTTTTAGAGACCATGCAAGAAAAGATTTGGGGAAATAGGCCATTTTCAATTTTTTTTAAGAGAAAATTGGATCACAGACCCTCCTTGGGGGCCTCTACTTGTAGGTCAGTAGTATGTATTGTCGACCTTGCCACTTATTAAGCCACACGAGGTCGATAAGCGCTATAGGTTGCAAGTGTAGCATCTTATACATGACAAATACCTTATTTATTCAGATCCGATATCTGAGCGTCTCAGTACACCCCTGCAAATAGTTTACTTATCTATTAGCTTTTGTTGTATAATTATCTTTTTAAATCAAAACTAAGATAATGTTCCATCCATCTATGTCAGTTTGACGTTCTAGGATACAAGTGGATGGTTGTTCATTGTCTTTGTTCAGGTATGAACGATCTTTGTTTAATAATAATTAATAGAAGGGTTTCACTTCAATTAAATGTTTTGCCTTTCTTTACTTTAATAAAGCTTTCTTTTTTATCTGATATAGCCATCTTGTGACTATGGTATTACTCCATAGTTTTATGCAGACGTGATAAGAAGTCATTTTTAAATGATTTACTAACAAAAACGTACTTACAAAAAATTTTTCCATTTGTAAGACTGAAGTTTTCTATGAGAATGTGTCTAGTTACGGAATGCCTGGCAGTTTGAATTTCGTAAAATCAAGAATTTTCACTTAATATTATAGTATTTTTTGTCAATTCATGTTGCTACTGCCGCCTGTTTTTTGTTTAGCTAATGATCAGGGTGCTGATTTGAACAAAAGTTTTGCTGACTTGTTTTTGGCCTAAATGATAATTGCAGATGTTATGATACAACATGTCTGTTTATGCTAAAATAGTCTCTTCAAGTCCCTTTCCAATTCAGTATGGCTTTCTCCAAGCAATATCTTCTAAGAAATGCTTTATCTATTTCAGCTTCATACTCAATATTTGCGAAAAAAGTTTTCAAATCTTCTTTAAGGTTAGTTTGGTTTGTTGGCGATATTTCTCTTTGTTTGTAATGGTCGTTTCAGGAAGTCAAGAAAAAACAATTACAAGTTTTATGTTGGTTATCTGATTGCTAAGGTTCTTCTTTTCAGCCATTTTCAAATTTAATGGTTTTTGGTAAATTCAGGAATCCATTTGTGAGAAATGTAATGTAAAGCACAAAATCTTTTTCAGTTTCTCAAACACTTTTCTCTAAGCCAGCAATTTTCCTAATCCTTAAAACAGGGTCCTACGTTTCTGAAACAATGTCATTCGTTTACAGCCACCTTGGATTCGCAGTAAAAGCACTTGGCCTGACTGTCACTGACCGAAAAGGGCAGTGTTGTAAAAATCTCTTTTCAGATAGAAAGGATTGATGCCAAAATAGTTCTTGCTGCGCGGCAAGATTTTAGATGCAGTTTTGAAATTGGAAACAGTGCTTTGATTGCAACGCATCTTGAAAGATATGGTCATCTCAATTGCTTGTCTGGATTTTTTTCTATTTCCCAAAATTTCTCATTTTCTATTGTTTTAGAGAGATAGACAAGATAATGCTGAATTCATTGTTCAGGTGACAGAGCCATTTTTAAAGTTATTACATATTGATTTTTAACTTTGATGCATTATGATTGGGAAAGGGGTTTTAACTAGACTTGAATTGTTTGAAAACACACCATTCCTGTCCAAAATTCTTGGTTTGTATTCAATGGTTTGTAGAGGGAAATGGACGTCCACTTGAAGGAGCACTTGAAGGCGAACTAAACCCCATCAAGACGCAAGCATACTATCAAGCAGTATTTTTCTTTTTTTCTATATTTTACACTGCTTCAATAATCTCTCATAGTATTTATCGAAGCAAAAAATTTCATTATCATTTGCACATTGAAATATTGTCATAGGCACATTTATAGATGAATCCTGTCTTACATTTGTTGGTAAAAACGTTCTTTTTGTTTGTTTTAGTGTAATTGTGCTAATGGGTTTTGGTACTTATACGGGTGAGTATTTCAAGGTGCTTGAAGATAGTGAAACTCCTCGTATAGAATTTGATATTACAGATGTACTAGAGCAAAACCTACACTAGCCTGTATTCAAATGAATTGAACGTTACTTTTAGCGCAGTTTTCCCCGAGCGATCAACAGATACTGCAAGCCAATGTTCAAGTTTTTGCATTTGATCATGTGATTTTGACATAGATTCTCGAATATACTTCACGAAGAAATCACGAAATTGTGTAATGATCCATTGCCATTGTCCTATTTGTATGTGTCAACAACCCATATCATTACGAGCCATTGTATGTAAACAACCCATATCTTTAAGGGTTAGATTACTGTAATTCAGTTCTCGATCAGAACCAGAGTTACAACATACAAGTGTCTTGATAATTCTCCGTCTCTCTCTGCCCGGATCCACAAACGTAACATCATTATCATCATTATTACATTTACATTTAACAACCCTTTTGGGTCATACAAATGTCACCACAGTTGCATTTGCCATCCATACTAGTATTAAGTTAATCTAATGCTAAACAGATCTGAATGATAAACGTTTATCTTTTCCAGGGGAAGTTGGAAGGTCGCTAAACTTTCCATTTATTTATTACAAGAAGTTTCATGCCGGATGTATTACCAGGTTTGATAGTATTTGCATTGACTCTTTACGTTGCTCTAATGGGCCCTAATTAACGGGTCAAGCTCCTTGGTGAGCAGTGCTTTTGTATAGAGCCATTGTACTTAGAAATTATTTTTTTTAGTCTTGTTTGTTTGTTCACTATATCAAAGAAATAGGTATGTGCAATGTAGTGGAATAGCATAGTAATTTTTATATATAGAAATATCATACGAGGAAAGTACTCAAACTGTTTTTGCTAATGAGACCCCATATGCCAGGAAAAATACTAGTCGAATTTATTCTAAACTACTTTTGTGTCGTGGTTCTTGCGTTTGATATTTTGCCATCCCTTTTCGAGTTGCATTGTTGCTGTCTAATGTTAACATGAACTAAGACTTGTCTTTTGACTGATAGGTTTCAAGTTAATCTCTTTTCTTCGTAGTGGCATCAGCGGTGCACTATTAGGACTATCATACAGCAGATTGGCAGAGGTTATGCCTGTCTCTAAAATTAGGTGGATTAGCACGTTGGCAATGGTAAGAATTTAACTATTTATAATTTTCTTTTTCATATGATGACAAATAATGGACATGCCCACTAAATTTAGTGAGTTGTCATTGATATAAGGAAAGAGACAAAGAAGTTTTTGTACAGAAAAGATCTCAGAATGAATGTAGTTTCCCCTTGCAAATATGTTCCTAATTATTTTTTATTATTTTCATACCTTTTCAAATACCTTTGCTTTGAAGTGCAAATTTTGCGTCTTCCTTCTTGATTATTTGATCAATTAATCCACGTTAGGTCGTGATCGTTGTAAGGTATCAGTCGCATTGCCAAACTCGTTCGTTTTGAATAACGCAGTAATTGTGATGATATTGATTTATGTCGCTTTTTAGATATGCAATGAAGATTTAAGTGATGCTAGTTATCGCTGTCATTGTCCGTGGCTTTTTCTGCTGCGCTTTAAATAGCTAAGAATGATAAACGAATAGCTGTTTCACTGTAGGGCCATCTCCTCTTAGCAAAATTTTGGAGGTTGAGCTTACCAACAAACCTTTTGCTATAAAAATATTGCGGATTTTTTTACTATTTGCTTTCACAGTAAAGAATATAGGTTTTTAATCAATAAAGATTCTCATTTCTTTGACAGGTATTAACATCGGCGTTATCCCTTTTCATATTCCAGTTTACACTGTCGGTACCATTAGTGCTCGGGTATGTCTATGTTGCTGGAAGTTCTCATATATGGAAATTGAGTATCTATATGCAGAAATATAACGACAAGGCAATTCCATTATGCACAAGCTGTCACTCTTGAAAATGTTAGAAAACCATTCTTAACTTCTAAGCAAATGGAAGCCTAGGACTGATATGTAATGCCTTTAATCCTGCGATAAAAGAAAATGGGTGCTTGTGCTATTACAGGCACTATGTCCTGACGCATTTCGCTGGCCATTTAATTTCCCATTGGTTGGACTACACAATAGTCCTATTGTTGCGTATCCAATCGGCAACGTAAGGCCAATTCTCAATGTTTTTTCGATCATAAACGCGCTGCAAAGCCTATTGTTGACTATTGTTATTGTTAAAGCCTATTGTTGACTGACGGTACATATGCCTTTAATCTTCCTCCGATCTCCTCTTGATGTTTACATACGTAGGCTCGTGTTAGATATTTTCCATGTCTGCAAAAAAGCTTGTCGTTGGTTGGTACAGTACCTACTCAATTATCCTACCGTATCCGGACTTCGATTATTCGGTAATTTGATAATGCGTCGAGAGCGTTTTTCTTGTTTTCCTTTTGAAATATTTTATGAGTATTTTAAGAGTATTAAGTGCATTAGATTGTGACGTGTGCTTAGAAATGAACTTTTACAACAACTCATTTTGTTTATTTATGCTGGTTTCTGCTGCACGCATCTTGAAATCTCGTGTCCGGAGAAGGTTGTATGATTGAATAAGTACTGAACCGTGGAACGTGAACTGATGTGAAGGAATACGTTACGTTTTCTCTAAGTAAATCTTTAATTTCATGAAATATCTAGCTTTTGATAAAAGTATTTCTCTTCCTCGTAGCATTACTGTTGGCTTGCTTGGCTCCGTAATCTATACATATTCCAATTACGCTAATACTGACATAGGAACAGACTCAAGAAAGGACGAAGACGTTTTGCCCAACGAAAGAATTGCCTGACTTCGTATATTATTACATGAAATTGTTAGCTTGTTAATTGGGCATCTTGCCTACTAAAGTGTAAGTTCATGTAATTAATGGAAAATGTATATTTTCTAATTTCTTTTAAGAAAATCCTTTGTTTTCATTTGAAACAGATCGATTGTCGAATGAGATATCGTTTTGCCACTTCAATGAATCATTTATCTGTCATCGAAAAATTAGACATAAAAATTGACTAAAGAATGCAAATTTTAAATAGAGTGATCAATGCTGACTGAACAAGTTGAATGTTTCAACTGACAGCTTTTCAATTGGTTTTTCAATTGGTAAACAACACTACACAGCAATAAAGAGCACTGGATATTTCTTATATTGACGTCATCAGTGCATTTTATCAATACACGGCTCGTGGGGCCAGGTGAGCCTCTTTCTGGGTCAAAATGTTAAGTTTGAATAGTGGTAGCGAATAGTAGAATAATTATCTTCTACCTTCTTGAATTGTAGAGATAGCTCATGTAGTGTTATCAAACTCCCATTTTCGTTTAGATTTTTATTAGTCCGTGGCTTAACTCATTATAAGAACAAACGGTATACTCTGTCATTCTGTTATTCGCCTTAAGCGTTTGTCTACAGAATTTTTGCGTTCTTTTAGAATTTGCAAAGCTTCACAACTAGTTGGCTTCTAAACGCTTAGTATACAAATGCACTCTGCACTATTTTTTACTACACATGTCGGTATACCTGGAGAAATTCACATTTAATGTTTATGGCAATGATTTAGTAGAGGCTCGGTAGGCTAATTCACACACAGGCTCTTTTTAACTATTGGTTATGTCATACGATTGCTTATTTAGTTGAAACAGTTAGACTGTAAACTCTGTGCTTCTTCGTGACAAGGAATTTCTAAAGGATTCAAAAATTATTCATTTCAAGCATTTTGCTTAAAAAAGGGGGGTCTATATGATATGAAAATTGGAACAAGTACTTTGGAGAATGACCTAAGGGTACATGGTGACAATAAGCTTGAGTTTGAAGGAACAGGCAGATAGCAGCTAAGAAATGTAACAAAACTCTTGGAATAATCCGCAGAACGTTCACACATTTGGATAGGAACATAATGACACAGTCTTTTCAAAGCATGAATAGGAAGATCTCAAATATCAAGAGCGACTGATAGGGGTTAAATTACCTAGCATAGTTCTCTGCTGGGAGATCTCATTTGAGCACATGAACACATAATAAGCACAAAAAGCAATAAATTATGCCAAAGAAATGACAAGAGGTCACTGATTGAAATAAGTGAAACAAGGATTAAGCCGAGGGGATAGTGAATGCTCCAAGCATAAATTGCTTCAAGAATCGAATATACAAACACTATCAAAACACAATTTTCTGTATAAGCCCTAGCTGGCATATTATGTTAGAAGACAATTAAGATATTTTAAACGTGAATAGTTCAGAGACTGCTTAGGTAGAGTTTCTATCAGTACTGAGATGTCTAATAACATCGAGCCATATGTTATTTACCCAAACGTTCGTCCCTTTTTTTTTCCTGTCCTTAAAGGATGTTAATACAAGCTTTGAGCTAAGCCTATGTAGAAAAATTAAGTATAAATATAGTTTTTTTTTAAAGTGCCACACACAAGTAGGTGTATCTTCTTCAACACTTGATAAACAGATGCAAATTATAGAATTTCTTAGAAAAAATTCTTCATAATTTTGACAGGTAATGTGCAATACAAGTTACATATACTCTGATATTTATACTTTATGCTTAGGAGTATTATATTTTTATATAAAAACCAAGCAGCTATTTCTTGTTGTAAATGATCACCCTGTGAATCCCTGTGATTTACCACGCACAGTGGGACAAGGTAGAAAGTATTTGGAAATCGCGCGGGTTAGGCCATAACAAAAATGGAGTTTCCCGATTTGGGGAAGAGGTGCTCTGTAGCAACTTGCCAGCAGCTTGGTATGAAAAAATTTGATACGTTGCAAGTATTATCTGTGTACTTATGCTCGTGATTGATCAAGATCATGACCGAATGAGAGATATATAAACAAGCGAACCAAACCCTAGCAAACCTGATTGGCGAATGTAACGAGATGCAAAACAAAGGCTAAGATATTAACGTTTTAGTAGGATTGGGATGCGATTAGGGCTGCATTTGGAGGTTATTGATGGTGTTTTTAGATTATGTTGTCTGAAATGAAGCATTGCAAATATTTACACCTTTTCAAGTCATCATTACTTTTAGGCTCTTTACATCTTTAGCTAGCCAGCTAGCTAGCTTAGATTATAATAAAGTTTCAAGAATTATGAAATTACCCTGCAAGCCATTTTAAGGCATGTTTAGAAAACAAGCTTAAGCTTGAAAGAAAAAAGTTAAATTAAATTTGGCACATAAGCACGATTTTTCTATTTTGTTCAAAATTTAATGAATGTTTCAACACAAGAGCTAGTTGTCAAATAATTTGTGTTATATTGTCTAGAAATGGCTAATTTTTTGTATGTGGAGTAAGTCAGAGTATGTGTAAACTACAAAAATGTTTTTGCATTCATGTTTGGGTTTTGTTTAGACAGAAACTAGAAATAGTATGGCCAAATAAAAAGCAAGTTTTATTTCATAACAATAGTAATCTAAAATTTAATCCCCCCATTAAGTTATTTGTCTAATGATTTTGCTTTCCCTTCTTATATTTACCCTGTCATTTGTTATAGTTAATTTTGTTCTAATGTTCTTGTTGCCTAATTTTTGTATGTGTTAAAGCTATTTTAAGGATGAATTTAGAATAAATGGATCTGGATTTATTTCTCAAAATATATGTAACATTACGTTATTGTATTTCTACCAAGTTTGATTTGTTTATTGGATTTTCCTTGTCTTTCAGACTTTCTTCCATTTTTGTGTTCTGCTTGCCGGAAAGTTTACTGGTAAGTATTATAAATTTTTAAAGCAATTCTGCAATCCTTCAATAACAATAAGTGTAAGCAGGGACAAATCAAAACAACAAAGAGCAATACAACACCAATAGATTTAATATTTTGCATAGGTGAGAAATATTAGAATGAATCAAAACACTTTTTCATTCTGTTTTGCTCTACAAGTCATTTTGTGTTATATTTCATCATGAATTTTGTTATTTAGTGTAAGCTGACCATCCCGGGAGAGGGATGCGATCCCATGCACACACCTTGGCAATGGCCTTGTTTACTCAAGAAGTACAGTTTATTCTGGCTTTGCTTTATTCTGGGTTTGAGTTACCACTTTTGAGTTATCAAATTATTGTTTATTTTCGACGTACAACACACACAACTTCATTGATTATCAAACATTCTTAGACCATGTTTAAACAAAAAATTTTTCATATTGAATTTAGTTTCCATGTTAGACACAAATTTTTTGCCTGTTTATATGTTACCTGCAAGAATGGGAAAATAGAGGGGAAAAGGGGCAGGTTCCAAAAGCAGTAATGATGTGTCATCAGTCTTTTGTATATGAAAGGAAAAGCTACATTTATAAAGATATAGGGGTTTAGTTATGATATGAACCTCCTAACTAGTGAGAATGTTCTTAAGCCAGATGAAAGAATGTACATATTTTTAAAAACATTCTCTAAGGTTTTTAAGCAGGAAAATAATTTTTAACTGTACGAAGGAAGGAAAGATAAATTACTTTTGTCTTCATGCTTTTCATTATGATTAACATGAAAAAAGAACAAAGGTATTTCTTGGAAAAGGTTTTTTTGAAAAAGATTTCCTCAAGAACTTTATGCATGAAAAATTTCCCTTAACCACCTGGTCACATGAACATCGCACCCTTGATTTGCCAAGGAGTGTGATTCACTGTTCTCCTGCAAATTCATTCCTGGTATTGTCTGAGTTTAAGGAAATTTCATAATCCCATGTAGATCTTTCTTTTTGTTTTCAGCAAAGATCATAAAGAATGGGATAGTCATAACTGCCAACCAGCAGCAGCTCAGAAGGTATGTTTATCTTTGATCTTGATAATGTGTAACTTGGATCATGCAGGACCCAGTGGGCTGTTTTTTCTTTGCATTTATTCAATTATGTTGATAGGTGTAGACTGCAGTTACTTTGAATAACACGTTTTTAGAAAGCTTGTAAGATCAGGCTTCTGATCAGATGTGGCTTTCTTTCAAAGAGATCTTCATTTAGCTAATGTCAACAGACACCCATCAGCTACAAATAGTAAAGTATGTTACATCTTTTGATCTGATTCTGGGGTCTTGCCAGTTTTCATATTTTCTTCAGTTCAGGACAATGAACATTTGCCAAAGTTATGGTGACTATTTTCTATGATATCGTTATATTTTCAATTGCTTAAAAAGTGCAATAATATTGATATGCTTTTTGTCTTTCAAAACACAGCCCATTCCATCTTTTTTAGGATGATGAACAGCCCTTGCAATCAAAGGTTTATGAATGCTATTTACAAGACTGTTCAGTTAAAGAGCTTGTACCAGTACAATGTCCAGAATGCCATAAAAATTTCTGCATGAGGTAAAAGGCAAAACTTTTTATCAAATTTTTTCTCTAATTTATGGTATCTGGGGTTTATTCCACATCAAAGAAGCAATTTTCAAAGCAGAAATATTGACAGATAATTATACCCAAATTCTAGTTTGTATATTAATACAATAATTTATATTACAAATGAAGTACAAAGGTAAAAGTAATAGTGAAACCAGTTGTGCATTGCTGACTTGGATGGTGGCATAAGACTGGTGTTTTTTAATGAATCATTTTCTTTTGCAGACATAGACACCAGCAAGATCATTGCTGTGAAAAAATAGAAGATAAATCTGAAATTGAAATCAGTCCAAAAGCAAAAGTGGAATCTATAATAGGTAACCTTATTTGATTCTTGTATCACAAAACCTTCATGTGTATTTTTAAACCTTCATGTGTAAAAGCAAACTTGTATTTTTATTATGTTTTTTGGAATCTGTCTACATCAAAACAAAATGTCCACACTTAAAGAGTGCATTTCTCCTTTGGAGTCTTCCACAATTGCGAGGCTAGCTGTGGCTGGCTTGTCAAGAACAAGAAGCCAATCAAACGCACCATTTTTCCACTCATGTTATTTTCAATCAGGGTCTACAACGGCTTCTAATAGTGGTTAGAACAACGTGATTGCACTCCATCATACATGCACATTTTGCGCTTCATTTTTCTGTTTCAAGAAGACGGAAAGATGAACATTTTGCAAAACGTCATCATTTCCTAGTTGGGATTCAACATTTCATAGGGAGAAGTAGGAAAGGTGATGAGAAAGTCACAGCGCTTTTGGTCGACATTGCAGATATCATAATATACTGTTAAACTTTAAATACTTAGTAGGACGAAAAGGGTGGATTTTCTCTGCTCTTTTTTTCTACATTCTTTTTAATGATCTGCCATTAGATAATCCACGAATTCAAGAAGGGCTTACACTGGTTATTTCAAGAACCATTCCTTTACAGACATAAAAATCATATATCGTTCACTTTTCGTTCTATTTCATGAAACGCAGAAATTTTCTGACAATCAACGATATTAACCGAAAAGTGGATGCCTTTGCAAATATTTCACACACCCCTTTTCACAACGTCTTTATCATTATAATGGCCTTCCTTTAGCGAGCAAGAGGTTTATTATAGAAAAGAGATTTATCATTAAAGTATATTGAAGGAGAATGTCAAGAAAATAAGCTGTTATATGCAGTCTGTATTCTAAAAAGAAAATTCTAATCAAAACTTTATTTTTTGCCATTGAGAATATTAAGTCCCATGTCCAAAGAAGCAATATTCGAAACCCATATCTTCAAAAAACTGCTTACATTCACCTGACTGCCGACAGGTTTATCATAAGTCCGTTTTAATTTTCTATTTCAGGAAGGGAACTGAAAGTAACCATCAAAGGTATGGTACTATGTGTGTCCAGCTGTAGCTGGGATTTTGTAACGATTGCTCCATGTTTTTGCATTACTAATTCAAAAAATTGTACCAAATCTTGGAATACGGCGTGGTTTCAATATCTAACCTAATTCAATAGATTTTCTTTATATTTTTATGGACTGTCACTTTTACAATGCCTGCAAAAATTACTCGAAACACCGAGCCATAATTGGTAAATTTGTATGATTTTCATTGCTTTTCCCAGAAACTACTATTTCCGTCCCTTTTCCCAACTTTTTCAGAACAATGTTGATAGTTTAGGAAAATACCATACAAGTCGGACGGAAGAAATTACTTCCAAATCTACTTAATCGTTTAGTATAAAGCCGATATTTTTCCCAAAGGGAGAGGGGTAGCTGAATTTGCTCTTCTGAACTAACGTTAGTACTCACTGCATTGCCTGCTTGAAACACAATTGTCCACTGATCAACCCATTCGTATCTACGAGCTTTGCTCTTTCACACTAAAATTCCAAATACCCTGTCGGCGGATACTGAAACAAGTCACACGTAACATTGCTTTCCCAGCTTTTCCTTTTATACTCGACATTCCTTTACATGACTGTCTAGGTCTGCCTAACATGCTACTAAAGTTAGACAAGGATACCCAGGGTGCAACTTTCAACTTATACTTGCTGCATTAACCGTTCTTGTTAAAGTGACTTTAAGAGATCTCTTATATCATGATAGAGCCAAAATCAAGAAAAAGCTCAAAAACTGCTGCGAAGGTGGTGCTTATGAAACTGAAACTTCATGCTGTTGGAGACAAAAGAATACCACAAGTACTTTACTTTGAGCCTATTCGTTTGATTATGCTTTATAAGGCCTAATAATGTTTCTTGCAGACTTTTGCTTTTGTTTGTTATTATTTGAAATGTCTTAGGCTATGAAGCACTCAGACTGAGTTCAATTGAGTCTTTGTTTTTCATTCCAAGATGTTAATTAAAATGGACTATTTAATTTAACTTTTTTAATATTAAAATACTTCAGGAAGTTACGAAACTGTACCTTGTTTTTGTGAAAGGATACTTATTTCAATCCAAAAAACTAATTTTTGATAATTATTTATACCATTGATAAAATGTGTCTTTTCAGGATGAAAAGGAATACTTTAATGTCATTTTTGTAAACCTCGATGGAAATAACAAGCAAGAAGCAAATCCTATGTTTTTTAGCAAGGTGGGTACTGTTCTTTTCCAATTATTTTGGAACCTTATTTTTCCGGCTAATGGCATACACTGCTCCTCATTTTTGTTTGTAAGCGCTCTATTTTCATCACTGATTTTTTTCTGTCTGAGATATTACTAAAATATTACTAATTCTTGAAGTATATTTAGCTTTTTTATATGAAGCTATGTTTATTGCACGATAATTATTGTTATAATGGTTATTAAATAAAGATATGTTTTTTAAGCGATGGACTGTTGGTAGAACGATAGACTATATAGCAAGCTCGAAGGGGATATCAAACAAAAACAACATTGCAGGAGAAAAGGTATGCTTCCGAATTGTTTATATGTGTCTCGTACCCCCCAAAGTATCCTAGCCATTATTTAACATCCAAATGTCAGATATGATGATGTACTTAAGCACCCTCAGTTTAGCCATGCTTCACGTTATAGCAGCTACACTCACGGTCAAGTATATTTCTTTTGCTTTATGCATATTTATCTTTAACCTTGTATTTTCTCTCTATTCTGCTGCTATTCAAATTTTACAAGTTATTAAATGATCAAGTATTTGTTATTAGAGGAATTTATAATTAATGGACTGAACTGAATTAAAATAAAGTGAACTATTAATGGCATTAAAATGATTTATCTCATTTTTTGTATCTTTAGGTGTTTAGGCCTATTTTGTTTGGTTAACGTTTGCTATATATTCAACTTTTTTAGCTAGGAATGAGCAACTTTCACAATTCTGTGATTTTAATGCCCTCTTTTATTTCTCGCCACATGTTTTTGTACCATACGATCGCTCATTGTTAAAATACTAAACTATTTTGCTTATTTGTCCTTACAGTCATTCAGTTGTTAATTTTTAACCCGATGCAAGACAAATATGAATCGGATATACTCCTTATCATAACTGACAGCAACTTTTTGTAGGCCGTAAATCCCTCAAAAAGGGACCTTTTTATTGGTATAAGACACAAATTTGAATAGAAACTCCTTGTTAGATACGTTAAACAGATAGTTATTTTAATTTCGAAGTATATCAATGGCATATTAAAAAAAAATTAAAATATGTGCTAAAAAATTGTCTCTTTTTTCTTGCACATTTCTAAGAGCGGTCATTTTTCACCAGCCCTTTAGAAGAGGTTTTAATGGTTTCATTAAAACAGGCCTAACTTTCCCTCGTGCAGTTTCTCTTTACCTACTTGATGTCTTTTTCAAATTTACTGTAAAATGCCAGTGACAGCTGTTGTTTTTCCCTCCTACAGAAACTGCAATTACTCAACAACGAAGACGTGGCTATTGACCCTAGCGAACGCCTGGAGGATTTGATTAGGACAAATGTAATCGATCTAGATGTCAGAACGTTAAAATTGTCGTATTCAGTATAATGTTTAAGAGCTTCCTGGTAAGTTTACGTCATGCTCATAAGAGAAGGGCATAGAAAGAATAGCATAGAAAGAAGGACAGCCTGACTATAGTACCAAGTTGTTTTTTTCAATTGTTATCAAAAGAATAGAATAGGATTTTTTGAAAATATATAGACAATTATTATTTGCAAGAATTGCACAGTAAGCGAAATTATGGCTTTTTTTCAGCTCTAGTGTTAATGATATCGATTTGAAGTAACAAAATTTTATTTGTAAATAGAACAATAGCTTTCGGTACACATTGCCGGAAGATTTATTTTTTCTGGTGGATGAATTTATCATGTATCAGTCGTGTCATCATGGATCCATAAGGATATAAATCTTAATTTGAAGGAATTTTCCACACACACAAAATGCCAAGGCAATTAAGTTTTATATCGGAACGGTTTTACTACACAAGCTAATTCGCTAATGGACTACTAGGAAAGCTTTCGTAGAAAATAATTGATACATTGATATATATTAAATAGTTTGTTTTCCACCCAAAAGCCATTAAAATGCTGAGCATCTATCTAGACTCAGTGCTTGTGTTTAGTTCATGGTATTCTAATGTTTTTCACTATCATTTCTGATCAACCTTTGTTAATCAAGAATTAGAGTATTTGACGATTATCGCCTAAGACTCTTTTAAAGCTCTAGCGTCCCTGTAATTAGGTTGAATGGATAGTTCTCTTTTGATTAGAATCTGATGTTACAGTTCAAATCTGGTATATTATCGAGTATACAATCCGAAAATACCATTCATATTTTGAGCTATCTCTTCCATTTTTGGTTGATTTGACGATCTCTAGGCTCAATCATATCGCTTAGCACGGGATCACAAGGTCAAGACATCAACTGGTTGTTTGATTGACGTATAAGTATCCCTCGGGTGATAACGAGGCCGCGTCGTTTTGTGCTGCAAGTGTTTTTATGAGGCCGAAGGACAAGGCCTTTCGCGCGGTTGAATTTGTAAATTACTGTTAAAATGATAGCTACTTTATGTGACTGCTGGTTAGTGCTACTTCTTCTTAAAGTTGGTATTGTGTACATGAAGAATCACGTCATCATTAAGGTGGACTAAGCATCTGTGGATAGAAAGGACCTTTATACGTGCTGAAGAATTGGAGTTCATTTCGATGATAGAAGAGCATATTGATTGGAATTTTTTTAAATTTAATTATTTGATTACACCAAGTGTGCTGTTTGGTTTTACTTAAGTTTGAAAACTATTCAGTGACTCGGCAACTATTTCACAACCACACTTGTAAGACAGTATTCCAATATTGTTGTCGTAATTTCGAATCGCGAAGAAAGTTGCTCATCTGACTGGCGTGCGCTTCACTATGGTAAGCAAAACCATTTTATTGGGCATCATCTTTCAGACATTTATCATTAGAACTGCTGCTGAAGCCGATGATAGCCTTTACAGCAGAAGCATTGCGAATTTTATGAAAATTCAAAATGAGCTGAGAGCAATGCACCAGAAAGACCTGGATCGTTCATCGGATAACGCAGGACAAGATCGTTTACCAGAAAATCAAGGATCAGACAGTCTAGCACGCCGTGCTGACGTCTTAAACCCCCTGCATGAAGGTTGGAGTGGTCATTTACTACATCACGTAAAGACGCAGCAGATCCCTGACTTCGGACATCATGAAATTCATACAATGGATGAACATGGCGAGAAATTCCATTTGGATAGCTCTCCCCGTCATCATGTACACCATGGTCATCACCATATGCCTCATTATCATCACGAGGTTCATACTTTCCATCACGATGGTGAACACCCTCACACCAACCATGAGCATTTCGTACACCATGAGCCTATCTACCACCACATTCCCGTGACGCATCACGGTGGTCATCACGTGGATCACCATGACGAAGACGAGGAGAGCGGTGACCACGAAGAGCATCACGATGAAGGAAACATGCATGGAGACACCGAGGACTGGGATGTTGGTGGAGGGTATTTCCAGGTAAAAAGTGCCTAATCATCTGAACGATCTATTTCATTTCTTTTAGACTGTCAGCTCAATTGGTTTGAACAGGTTCCGAAGCACAGTAAAACGTTACGTAAAAGCGTCTTTGTTCACGATAGCAAATTAAGTTCAAAATATAAATGATTTGTTTGCTATATTTTTCTTTGAGTTTATGTTTTGATGTGATCAAATTTCCACTGGAACTGGATGGTTTATTTTAAAACATTCAAGTTTGCTATTTACTTTTAATCTGTTCCAATAGATAAACATCTAGAAGCATCAAAAGATTTTTGCTTTTTAATCAATCCATATGCTAATTTGTGAATCATATGTAAAGCGCCTGTTTTGATTGCTTGTTTTCAGCCTTTGTTATTGTCATATATCATTCCATTTAGCTTGAAGAGCACGGAAGTGATGTAAACGTAGTGGCCTTGAAAAAACATGGCACAAAAGTGCATATGGGTGGCGGCGATTTCAACGTCATCAGAGATCCGTGGAGACACCACTCGCTGTTTGCCGGACTATTTCACCCACACGAAATGCCGGGACACGGACATCTTCCAATGGAACAGTTTCACCAACATTTTACCTACATTGCTAATGATCGAGCCATCAATCATCACGTGTACGAGCATCACACGCATAACGAAGATAATCATATCCATGAGCGTGATCCAGGACACGAACACGACTATTTCTATAATCATCACCCTGAGCCTAACAATCACGGAGACAAACGGGTTTTCAACATGAACCCATCGGTCAATGTAACCGCAAAGGCCCAAGTGAAGCAGAAAATTACAGGGTCAAAAGCCAACGAGGAGGAGTTGATCTCGATTCCACTCAGTTTCGCTCGCAATAGCGATAATGCCCCAAATGTGCAAGACAGCCCTTATATAGTTCCAGAAGAGGCAGAAAATGTCAAAAAATACCTTTCGTACCCTGTCAGGGACTCGAACTGGTTGCCTGGAGCCGTAGAATCTCGAAGCAGAGAGTGGAAGGTTGTAAAAGAAAAGAAGGAGCTACCAAAGGGGAAATCTCCCCGTCTTTCACCATTTAATGGCAACCATTTTGGCCCAAGTTCGCTTGGAAACCGGTTCGAAGCTCCCTTTGCGCCAATTTTCAAACGACAGTTATCTTCAGAATATTTGCCTCGGGAAGACAGAGGCATTTCAATAAAAAGTTCGATAAGAAGACCTTTGTCGAAAATACCATCTATTAGGGTAGCAAGACTAAAACGAGCATTTCTTGGGAAACTGCTCTCAAATAAGAGTTGAAGCCCGATGAAAAAGGCTTTTACATTGCCATTTAATATGGGGCATAGGAAGGCGCTGTTCAACTGTAACATGCTCTATGTATTCAAGGCCACATCAGTCTTTTTATATTCCGTAGCGGATAGAATTGGTAAAGTTAGGTTTATGCCTTAGTGTTTTGAAGCAAACAAGTTGTTTTATGAAGTAGCTAGTAGCGAAGCCTCTTTTAATGCCCCCAACAAAGCAGGGGCGAATTTCTTCCAGAAAACCGATGGCTACTTTTCAGGATGTGTGTTTACTATGAATAGATTAAATCTGTACAAAGAATAATTTCGTATAATTCAACGAGTGTTTCTTTTTGTTTTAAAAGCTTTTTTCGGTTCTATCAAGTCGATAAAATAGACGGAAATATCACAATGCAGAATTTGCCCTTCGAAGCATTAGTTACAAGCATGTTGATCGATAGATAAGTTTTTGAGTGAGTTTAATTTGTGCTTTGTCCACTCTTCTTTTTACGGGTAGATTTGATTTTTCGATCTTGCACTTGTTACCAGTTGGCCGAATTTCCCGAACTTGGAAAGTCAGCAAAGTAACGAATTTATCTTCATTATTTAATAAACTGTTTACATGTTTTGTAAAAACAGATTACGTGTTTCACAGATGTTTCCAGTAGGGATCAAAATTTGTTTACACTGTCGAGGTACATACTACCTGTCAGGAGTTCATAACCTTCACAGAAGGAAAAATTCACCTGCTGAAGTAGGTCTGCAGATTAACATTGTCTTTCTTCTGTAATTTTTGCAAAATCATCGAATCTCATACCTAATCTTTCTAAATAAAGACAAAGCTACTCTTTCCTCTTTCCTAACAGACTTTGTTACTGTTTTTACATAAGATTCAACTTCTTCTCGTTGCTCATTTGTAACCTGAAATGAAGTTTTTGTATCAAATACTGTCATGACAATTATGTTTCTGTGGTAGAGAAAAAGAAATAAGTTTTCCTTTGTTTTTCAAGAAAATTTAGTTTCCTTTGATTAGCAGTAAGAAGAATAAAAAGACAGAAAGTCCTTCGCGGTACTTTTTATTTCAAGCCTGTATGTTTTCGCTTGTAAAAATACCGATATTTGTTGTCATGACAACGGTCAAGGTTGGGTGCACTTGATCATTTTCATGAATAGCCAGTTATGAACAAGTGAGCAAGAATCCAACAACCAGGAGCTGATCTGTCCTCGCTATTCATGCCTTTGTTCGCAGATTTTACACGAAAAAATGGAGGAAAATCAAAGCTAATTTATAAATCGTAATTCTAGGTAATTAAACACAAGTCTGCTTGCAGGGAAAGATGGATGATAAAGTGTTTCTGGTTTTTCTTTTAGTTATCAATGGATTAGCTTTGATTAACTGTTCTACGATAGTTCAAAGACCTAACGCTGAGGATTTTATACACGATAGCGAAACGGAGAGTGCAGATACAGAGAAAGTAACTAAAAATAAGAATACAAAAAGACAGTTTGTGTTTTATCCACACGGCGAAGGATACGGGCATCATCACCGCCACCACCATGATTATCACGAAGGGTTCTTTGATGGAGGGGAACATATGAGCATGCATGGGGATCAGTATGCAGACCATGGGGGCATGGATGATTACGAAGAGCCCCACGAGTATGAACACGTTCATCATCAGTATAAACATATTCACCATGTCAGTGAGTATCGTTTTATTTATGTTTCAGAATTACATGCTTTTGTGAACAAACAGGCCCGGCGTGGAATGCACAGGTAGACTTTACATGATCCTAACTTTCTGAGATAGAAGTTTTGTATCAGTATAAAACTTGATTTCCTTTATACGATTTGCTATAGTGTCATTCCTGCTGCTTCTAAAAAACCACATCCCATTTTGTTTACTGTAATTCTTTAGTAATATCTTTGATCTAAACGGGGTATGCTATCGCATCTGTGTTTGATTTTGGTATCCTTGTATGGTTAATTTATGAATTGGCTCCAGTTAGCCTTTTTTCACGTAATGTCTATCTGTTAGAAAAAGCAAAATCAAAGCTTAACTTCATTGTATTAATAGCGACATCTTTGGTTTAAAAAATGATCACAGATCCACATGTTTGTAAAAGTGTTACAGTTAAACTACCGTATGGTTTAAAAAAATACTGGAGTTGAAGTAGTTATATCTCTACTTGATATCAGATTTCTTCGTAAAAAGTTATAAACGATTTTCAACTGGAAATCATTGGCTTTCTTCTATCTTCTTTGAACGTTAGATTTAGGCATTTTTACCAGAAATGTCGCGGCACGTCTATTTTCTAGTACTTATTAAATTCTGCATACTTTTCATTCGAATCTTCCCACTCAAATCTTGCTTTTGTATTATGATAGGAAATTGTCTTGAAAAAAAAAATGTAAAAAAGATGATTTTATATCGCAAAAATCCTAGAAAGAATAAAAAAAGATATTTTATCATTTTAGTATTATGATCATAAAATCTTTTTAATCCTGCTTAGTGACTGCTCCCATTAGACTAATGTGTTACCCCTTTAATTGTTTTTATAACAATTTTCAGTTCATGGCCGTTGTGACCCCAGCCCGTGTCTCAATGGTGGTACATGCACAATATTGGCACATGGCTACGAATGCACCTGTCCTATTGGATACCTCGGCATGCATTGCGAAAGTAGGTCCTTCTCAATTAAATCTGATGTGACAGCTTTGCCTTGTGAATTTACTAGCTTATTCCCACGATATTCTCATTGAAGTACGAAATTTGATGGTTAGATTGAGTCGAAACTTTCTACAGCATTAGTTACTTATTCAACGTCTCTATTAATTTGCGCCAGTTTGGAGCATTTAAGGAAACGAAGCCCCGAGCAATTTTTTTATATCTAGACTTTTGAAACTACAATTTTTTTAGCTCTTTAAACGTTTGACTTTTGGTATCGATAAGATGATGCCAGTTAAACACTGAAAGTTTTAGAAAGCTTAAAGTCTTTTCTAGAGCGACATTGTCGGTTGAGATCATATCGTGGCGGCTGCCTAACCGATAATATTACTGTTTTCTCAAAGTTATTTATTATACAATTGGATGATGTTAACTATTCTTTGCGCAGCTCGAAGCCAATGTGAGCCCAATCCTTGCCGCAACGGAGGCACATGCTATGACGTCGGTGGCAGCTTTGAATGTGTCTGTATGACTGGTTTCAAAGGCCAGCGATGCGAAGGTATATTTTGTTTTTATTCATTATTACGGTGATTATCCACCATTGAGGCATAACTACCATCTTGGGACCGGTTCTCGTTTTCGTACATTAATCTGTGTTTTATCATCCCAAAGAAGTTACCTTAATCATTCTGTTTTCCGCCTTTTACTTCAGGATTTACAGTACTTTGCTATGGATCCATTTATCATTTGCCTACCTATATAGATTTTTTATACTCTGTTGAGTGTTTTGTGAATGCTTTCTATGTACACTTTAATGGTTACACATCGCTTCAATGTCTTGCTGTTATAACACTGGTTTTTTGCAGAGGAGAACAAATGCCACCCCAACCCATGCAAGAACGGTGGAATGTGCACAGAGACCGAAGAAGGCTTTGAGTGCTCGTGCAAAGAAGGCTTCAAAGGCAAAATATGTGAAGGTATTAATGTCTTAGATGGGTAAAACCAATCAAATGTAACTAATAAAGGTTGAATATCTAGTTTATCATTATTTATTCTTTTTTCCAACCTCGTTTTTTCCATCTTTAACTTTTATTTAACTTTTGGAAAAATTTGCTTCAACAAAAAAGCAAAGGTATTATTAAAAGATCTTTGATACTTTTAAACCCTTAGGAACTCCCAAATGTAAGGGGGTACCCACAATCGCACACGAATGCAATGTGGAATTAAGCCTAGATGAAATTTTAAAGCTCTCCTGGAGATAGTTGAATGTGAGCTAAAGAGCTAAAGGTTCTTTGAGAGTACTAACTGTTTTTCTACTCTTCGATCTGACTATCTTTAGAGACAAACCAATGCAGCCCTAATCCATGCAAAAATGGAGGAACATGTACCGAAAGGAACGGAAAGTACGAATGCACGTGTACAATTGGATTCAAAGGACTCACATGTGAAGGTAACGTGCTCTACTCAGCACACTGTCTGTTCTGCTTCATTCATTTTTAATAGAGCATCCTCGTTGCATTCCAATTTAACATGATAGTCAGTGATTAAAGCATATATGCACTATTTTGATAATAATGTTTAAAAAGAATGTTCCAGTCAATGGCTATAAATTGAGAATCTTGATGCAACGATTTTTGCAAACATTTTTAGGAATGATATTTAAAATTAGAGTTATTTTCGGTTTAGCTATTCTAGAATCTTCCTTGGACCAAATTTTTCCTTCGCCGGTTTAATAACTAACGTAGGATAAGTCTTTGATGCAGACCTATTTACATTTTCTGCAGTTATGACTCTATATCACAACATTTGTCATTATGGGTCGTTTCGGGTTATCAATTCCTATTAATTTCTCATCTTTAGCAAGAAGTAGCTGCTCGTCTAATCCATGTCTTAATGGAGGAACGTGCAATGAAGAGAACATAGGCTATAGCTGTACCTGCAGAGCTGGATACAAGAACGTCAATTGCCAAGGTTTGAGTTTTCTACGTGATGCAGATGTTGTGCAATGATTTTATTTTGGAGAGAAAGCTGACCGTCACACTATAAATTTTAAAGGACCAAAAGCTGGCCTGTTTAATGCTAATAACAACATTTTCTCATACATTTCTACCAGCTAATGTCGTAACTGTCTAAGAATTTGGATTTGTTGAACCACATATATTACTCATACAACATAACTTCAAATTTGACATTTCTTTCTCATTGAACTTTTCAATGTAATACGACATTTAACAGGTTTTCAATGACAGTCAACTTCTGACCAATCTGAAAATCTTACTCGATTCATCTTTTCTTCTCTCAGATCATGTTTGTCACCCAAATCCTTGTGCCAATGGAGGAATCTGCTATGTTAAGAATGGTGCTCCTTATTGTGCTTGCCAAGATGGTTTTGTCGGAGACAAGTGCCAAAGTAAGAATGCAATTGGAAATTATGGGTATTATGGTAACAAAGGTGCCTTAAAGAAGTATCAAACACAGCAAGAGCCTATTATCAATTATGAATCCTGAATCTTGAGAATTTTATCAGATTGAATCCATTGTTGAAAACTTTTGAGAATGATCTTACTGTTCGAAAACTTTACTGCGTGATACTGGCCCTATACCCAGTGATCAGTAAGATTGAGTCCTCTGTTCTTCCCTGTGTCCCTATTCAACCTATTTAACTGTTGCCTAAAATTTGCGTTAACTGTTACTACAAATATAAGTTTAAAGGTTGTCTTGATATGCAATACTGAATCCAAAACCTATACCAAATCTGCACCAGAGTGCAGCTTACTAAAGCTAGATATTGTCCGTGTCAATGGATTTTCATGTTCTTCTTTGTCAGTAAGCATTTGAACAACAACTAGTGGTAAAACTGCCTTTAGGTTTCCTTCTTGAATATTCAGTTATAAGGACGATGATAATTTTTATGTTGTTAACTTTTACTTATAAAACGTAGACAAGTGCGTTTCTTTGGTTAGATTGATTCTCCAGTATTGATTTTCGACATTTTCTTTCCCAGTGGCTAGCCCTTGCGCTGCGCAGCCTTGCCAAAATGGTGGAACATGCCATGAGTATTACAACACCCAGACCGGAAGTGCATCCATTAGCAATGTTGTTAGTGGAGCAGTACCGTTGTATCATTGCACATGTGTCGAAGGTTTTACAGGAAAGAATTGTGAAGGTAAGGTTACCTAATGCCTTTTTGCGTTGTCGATAGATTTCTAATGTTTACAAACCTAGAAGTTGCCTGCCTTTTTCTTAGAATCTGTTTGTTGTGAATCTCAACTAGACAGAGTCTAACTGGTTTTCAAGAGAATTTGACCAGCTTATTTGAAAATACTTTTGCAAGACATTTCTCTTAATTAATACGTTGGGTTATTCACATAACTTTTTCAGATGATACAAGCATATAAAATATTTTTTATTGCTTATATTCAACTTGATGAAAAAACATTTGTGTTGAAAGTAGATCAGGAATTCAATTAGAATCTTAAAGATGCAAAGTTAACTGTTAATATTTTCAACCATATTTCCAAAGAAGTACAAATTAGTTGGTAGGCTCTTTGACTTCTACCAGTGAAAAAATTACAAACCTACTTGATTGAGTCAATAGGTCCTATGAATATTTTTCAATATGATAAGTAAAAGCCTTCATACACTTAATTTTTGGTATTTAACCATGTTAATTCCACTTTAGATGATGCATGTAGAGAATGTGATCCACATGCAATTTGTGAAAAGGGCAAATGCTATTGCAAGGAAGGATATACTGGCGATGGGAAATCATGTGAAAAAAGTAAGTTGTTGAATTCGTCTTTAAATATGGAGAGACCATCTTATAGTGTAGAGCGCTCATTAAGGCTTTTGGTAACTCTGTTGGCAAGCGTTTTATTCTTATAAGCAAGAATCATCTAGTCATTGAGTACATCAACACCAAAACTATCAGAGAAAGAAAATCAGTTACAGCTTTTCATCCTATGTTGTATAAACCCTCATTTTCACCTTGTTTTGTGTCCAACTCATCTTTTTGTAAAAACCTGATTTGTTTTCATGAATGTTAGTGTGAAAGTTTGCCATTTCGCTTTTTGGGAACACAATGCAAATATCAACCTCGCACGTATATATATTTATTAAGCAATCAATGTCGTTGTGATTTTGCAATCAGTCAATCAACGCTTAAATGATTTTGCAATTAGTTAATCAACACCTTTGTTTAAGCCTATTTTATTGCTGCAGGTTCTATATATATATGTAAGAGTAAGCAGAACAGAAATTCAGAGTTGCTTTATTTTCCCTCAAAGTTGTAAATGTCATAAAATTGCGGTTGTTTAGTCAGAAAGATGAAGAATTTAGAGCATATATTCTATTTATATTCACAGAGAGCATGTGCAAACCAAATCCTTGCCAAAATGGCGGAACATGTAAGGATGTCCAGGGATCTTATGACTGCACATGTACCACTGGCTGGACTGGTGAAAACTGTCAAGGTATTTTCTCAGTCATAAGTCATTTTATTAGAGAAGTGATTTGCAGCCCATATCATGATTATCATTTTAACTACCATATGATAATTTTGTTAAAAGTAGTTCCCGAAATATTTATGCAAAGCATCATTATTTTTAGTTTTCAATCAAAGAATCACAGAAGGTAGAATTGAAACGCTCAATCTAGAACTGAAATATTTTGAGAAGGCGCGTATTTAAATAAGAGTGCTCCTTCTTTTAACCCATGCCATAGCCTGAAGCCATATTCTTACTTGACAAGTTTCTTTTGTCTTTGTTGAACACAAAAGAAATCAGAAAATTTTTAAGGTGACAAGAAAGTAGGCAAAAAAGGGTTTTTTCTAGCGTATGGTCTTTTGCAGGCAATAATGTTTTAAACGTTTCAAAACAAGTTTTTGGAAGCGTAGTAATTGAAAGTTGTTCGACCGAAGTCATTTTGCGACGCTCCATAATATTAAAAATATTATTTTTCAAGAAAATTCCTGTTTGATATTGAGATTTTGTTCATTTTTAGATAAGAAATACTGCGAGCCGAATCCATGCAAAAATAGTGGAAAGTGTATCACTATTTCTGGAGGATATAGATGCATATGTGAAAAATTCAAGGGGGTCAATTGTGAAAGTAAGTTAATCCTTTTTCATTTAAAAGGAGGTAAAATAGCTATGTTTAAGAATCAGTCAGCAACATTAATGAACTTTCGTCGTGTTAAAAGCTAAATTCAGTTGGATTATGAAATTTTCATTAGTATAATCTCTTCGGAGCCGACAAACTATTCTTACTTACGGGATTTCCAACATACACATACAAAATACCGAAATGAAGAAGCTTACAGTAAAGATCGAAATTTGACATTGAAAATTCGTAGCAAGCACAACAGAGTTAACTAAAAGGCACTATATCCCGACGCATTTCGCTGGCCATTTAATTTTCCCATTGGTTGGACTACACAATAGATCTATTGTTACATATCCAACCGACAACGTAAGACTCATTCACAATGATTTCTCGGCGATAAACGCGCTGCACATATTGTTAACTCCGAACGGGTGGCTGACGGGATATCTTTAACGCTATCAGCCCAAGTAATGATAGGAGATAGTGATGACGTTATGATTTTGAAATAGCTTCATCGTATCCAATAATTTTGAAAAAGGAAGGAGAAACCACTCTATCACAAGAAATGCGACTAACAATTTTTTTTCAAGATAACCCTTCTGGTCCAAATTTTTCCTTTAAGAACCTTAAAAGCAATAGACAGATACAAAACTGCTTATGCCATCTTCGAATCATCTTCTGGCCAATCAAGAAGTGCCTGGTTGATATCACACTTGTTGATTGGCCAATGCTGATTGACAGGTGACTTAAGCAAAATATGTATCTGCCGATTAGCTTATAGTTCTGTTCTTATGTGCGTTCTTTTAAATCTTTTATAATTTATAATTACTTTCTTCGATTTATATTTTGAAACGCTTTTTAGTAGGTATATGAAATGTAAAGAAGCTGATATAGAATAGAGGTTATGTTTTGCAGTTTGGAACAAGTTCATAAGACATTAATCTGATTGTTTGTCGACAGAACCTGACCCATGTGATCCCAATCCTTGTCAACATAACGGCAAATGCACAGATGTTGGCGGTCAGGCATCCTGTGAGTGCACTGATCCCCGATATACTGGCGATAAATGTCAAGGTATTTTCAAATTTGCTACATTGTACTGACTTTCTTACAAATTTGAAAAATTTCCAGTACATGCCAGGATTATGGCGAAGCAATGGTTCAAAAACATCTAATAAGGTGTATATTAAGATCGTAAAAGCATAGGGTATATTTATTATCGAGCTGCATTTTTAAAGGAGTGGTGCTGCTTATTTCGTGTGTAGTGATATTTTCTCATCTTCATCTTTTGAATACGATTTTCAAGTGATATCACACCCATATTTTCTCAGTAGAGATCAAACGTGTGCTGACTGTCCATCAGAAGACTTCAAAATTTTCTCATTTTAAGTTTTTTTTCTTCCATATCACTGATTAATAGCGATGCGACTTGTGTAGCCAATTTTTATACCTACCACATCTCGTGCTTGCATAAGTCTACATGTACTTCATTTTGATTCACCTCAATGTTTGATAATTTACTATGGTGAATGAATTGGATTACAATGCTTGTGTTTGTTTTATTCCAGTCGACGGTTGCGGAGATTGTAGCCCGTTCGCTGACTGCCTAAATGGCAAATGCGTTTGCAAGACAGGGTACACAGGAAATGGCAAACTTTGTCAGTCTGACAGTAAGAAATTTTCGTGTTTCTTGTTGATCATCTTCTTTCCAAGAACACTTCCACTTGCAATTTTGGTATTAGGAATTCGTTTCCGACTGACCAGAGTTCCTTTTTATTAGATTATCTGATTAAACTGTACTTTAGTATCCTGTTAGGCTTTCATCCACTGGTTGTTATAAAAGAGCCCATTAATGGTATAAATCAACTTTTCTTAAATTGTCCTCATTCTTTCCGTTACTGAAGTTATTAGTGCACCAATTTTATGTTTTTATCGTTCGTTTTTATCGCTAGCTGTCTTTCCATCCTTTTTTCGTTTCAACTTTAGTTTCATTTCTTTGTAATTTTCTAACACATTGTATTATTCCTATCCGATTTTCACATGTTTTTTCTTATATATGTTACGCCCTGTTTTCTTCATCTGCGCCTATATTTTCTCTTTAAATTTGCTATTTTATTTTCCAATAGCTTCATCATATTTTTCATATGCCTCCAACGCATTCCATAATTTTCACCCGCCCTCATTCCTCTATTCCGTTATAATAATAATAATAATAATAATCAATTTATTTAAAGTTGGCGCTACATAGCTATTTACAAAGAAATGAGCTAATCCAAGCCAACTGTTAAAACTACTACATCAACTAAATACATACGAGATTAAATACATAAAATTTTAAATACAAAATGATCCATTAAAAAACTATAAAAACCTGAGCTATTTAAAAGATAGAATTACAAAAAACCAAGTTGTGGCACGAACGTCCTACATAGTTTGCATGTACAGTCTGTGCCATTCCAGCTTTTAATTTCTTTCTTAAACTCATTAATAGATTGAGCATTCCTTATGTGCTGAGGTAAAGAGAGCCAAAGACGCTGCCCTCTATATTTGATAGTTTCGGTTCCATAAATGGTTGTTCTTACTCTTGGTGCCATAAATTCATTATTATTTCTCAAATTATAAACAGCATGACGCTCGCAGAAAATCTCCCTCATAAAAGGAGGGTTGATATTTCTCTTTGTTTTAAACATTTCAATCATAAGATTTCGCAGGTGTTTTACATGAATATTTACCGAGCCATCATTTTCTAGCAGAGTGTTGAAGCTAGAATCATAGTCTTTGTATGCAATTCTCAGAGCTCTTTCGTGTATTCTATTAATCTTACTATTCAAGTGCCTACTGTGGAACATCCAGACTAGTGGACAATATTCGAATTGGCTAATTACAAATGCTCTCATTAAGATTTTAAGTTTATTAGCGTCCATGTATCCAGATATGCGAGCGAGGGCGGTGAGTTTGCTACCAGCCTTCTTACATACTTTACTGATATGTGTCTCAAAACTGAGTTTTTTGTCTATCACAACACCTAGTAGCTTTTCCTCTTCCGAGTTTTCTATGATAGAATCTCCTACATTAACTTTAACCTGTTGATTAGAACTTTTGCCAAGAATAAGTAAATGACATTTGTTTGTATTCAACTTCATAAAGTTATCAGCGAACCATTGGATAGTTATACTTGAGTCATTCTCTAGCCTTGCAATTACATTATTGAGATTTTTATCTCACGCATATAGAGTTGTATCATCCGCGTAATTGCAGATATCCGTATCCATTAAGGAGAGAAGTAAGTCATTTATGTAGATGTTAAAGAAGAGGGGACCAAGAACTGATCCTTGCGGAACACCAAGGAGCAATTGTTTGTAGGTACTGAATGATCCATTAATCTTAACTCTCTGATGCCTATTTTCCAAGTAGCTGTTAACAAGACACAGTGCTTCATGGCTGAATCCGTAAGCATCTAGTTTTGCTATAAGGAGGTCATGTTTAATACAATCAAAGGCTTTCGAGAGATCCATAAGGATTGCGCCAACATTTTCTCCCCTGTCTAAGCTTGCTTTCCATTTTTCAAGCATTCGAGCTAATGCGTGCTGCACATTGTACCCTTTACGAAAACCACATAAAAGTGACGATAAATACGATTGCATATAATCAATAATCTGTTTATCCATAAGTCTCTCAAAAACCTTTGAAACAGTTGGTAGTACACTAACCGGTCTGTAATTTTTCTTATTGGTTTTCTCCTCCGATTTGTGGAGGGAAGTGACATCTGCTAGTTTTAATAGGTCGGGAAAGACACCATTTTGAATGCAGTTATTGAAAATAAGCTGCAACGATTCGGAACAAATGTCAGAGCTATTTTTCAGCACTCTCGCGGGTATATTTCCAAAGGTTGTTGCCTTTTTAGGATTAAGCCCCTCAATTTCAGAGTGTATCTGTTCCACAGTAACCTCTTGGAATTTAAAGTAGCCTTTAATTCGAGCAAAACTGCGAATTTTCCTAATGCTAGGGTGTTTTGAATATTTCATTATAGCCTTTTCTATAGGATCTGATAAACCATCTGTACTTATGGTAACCTCCCTGTTCCCTGTCAGACCTAATGAGTCAGTTATCGATATAAAATAATCGTTCATGGCTTCTGCAACTTCCTTATCATTGGAAATCATCCTATTATTATCGATAAGGGTAATATTTGAGTTCGATCGACTTTTATCGGAAAGGACAGGTTTTACAGTTTTCCAAAATTTCTTGTTGTCTGTAATATCAGAAGTATTCAAATTTTTATAGAAATTTCTTTTTTCCGTTCTAAATAATTTGACACACAAATTACGCTGTCGACGAAACGCTTCCCAATGTTCAGCTGTGCGGCTTTTATTATATCTATTTTTCAACCTAGAGCGCAGCATAGTAGCTTTACGAAGAACTCGATTCATGAAGGGACCATCATTGGCCCTTGCGTATTTTTTCTTCATCGGTGCATGCTTATCAAGTACCTTCTCAAAGCAATTTTGAAAAGAACTGTAGTCTAAATCAGTTGTTTTAATGCTAGCCAACTCTTCCTTAAGTTCTCGTTTGAAAGTCTGCTCCGAAAATTTCTTATATTCTCTATAGTTAATAACAGTAGGTCCAGCCTTTTGGTACGTCGTTTTCAAAACTGTGACTATCATTTTGTGAAAGTCAGAGAGACCTGTCTCGGTAGTGGTGGTATGTTGGAAGCTCCTATATCTGTTGGTTAAGATTAGGTCAATACACCGTGGATTGTCAGCCTTGAAACAGGTTGGCTCCTTCACCAGATTTCTGAGGTCATAACTATTCATAAAAGTACGAATCTGTTGACCTGTCTCTACTGTATTAAAATCCCCAAGTAATAAAAATTTGTCATATTTTTCACTGTAATGATCAACTGCTTTGCCAAGATTTTCGAAAAAGTGTTCTTGTGATTGGGACGGTGGTCTGTAAACACTGAAAAGAGCCCACTTATTCCCCCTTAAATTGATTTCAAAACAAATACATTCAATGTCAAGATCAAATTTAAATGACTTTAACTGCTTCATTGTGATGTCACTTTTCACATAGACCAACAGACCGCCACCCTCACAATTTCTGTCAAGCCGTAGTGGATCAGCATAACCTTCAATATAGAATTGTCCCTTTGGGAATGAATCATCAATTTTTGTTTCGGCGACCATTAGAATGTCAAGATTCTGTGAAACTATCGCTTTTAGTGCATCAAATTTATTTCTAATGGAATTTATATTTAGATACCCGATAGTCATACGACCTATGTTCTTTAAACGCAGATTATGTAATGCTGATTTTGCATCACTGTCGTCGGTGGTGTCATGTAGGTCATGCGCAGTAGTTCCAGCAGTAACTGCTGGGGCGTTACAAATACTGGCGCTGGATAGATCAGGCTTCCCAGGTTCTATGCCGATGGGAAGCTCTTTGTATGGTTTTACCCCCTCGATTTCTAGTCAGTATCCTAGATTATAAATAAAATTGTTAGCTAAAAGCGTGTTTCCACGGTCATTTAGATGTAGCCTGCTACGATTAAGGTGTATGCTTGGATCTATATTCGAATTGTCAATGAATTTCAAGTTCTTGCTTATACATATTTGCTTCAGCAACTTGTTTACCTCAGTGGCTTTTCCATTTAACGAGTCGCCCCGGGGTACCAACCCTGAAATCAGGACCGAGTTACTCCTGGTTTCCAATGTTCTAGCTAGTTCGAAGATGTCTCTAGCGATGTTGCAGGCAGGTTGGGATCTTCTCAAATCGTTCGTACCACAGTGAAGAATGATTGTCTTCGGATTTTTTTTTATCGTTGGGCAAACGTAACTGTTCATACAATCCACTGTTGCTCCTGAGAATGACTTAACATAAACATTTCGGTCATTCTTGATTGCTTGCTTCATTTTGAATCCTTGAATATTTTTTACCATGGAATCGCCGATGATAGTAATACAATCCTGGGTTCGTTTTGGCTGTTGGTCTTGATCAATAACACGATGGAGATCCTTTTGCCTTGATGGCATTCTTTCCAAATCTTTGCGAATAACTCTTTTGTTCCTTGCCGTAACTTTATTAGATTCTTGTGACTTTACTGGAGACTTTACTGTACAAAAATGATCTGAAGCAGTATCATTCAGTTCCAACGATGACAGCAGGTCAAATTTGTTCGATAGCGGTGGAAAATCCTCATAACTTGCATGCCAGTCGCATTCACTAGATGGCCTCTTTTCCTTGCTTGTTCTTCTGATTCCAGCTCTCTTGGGGATGATTTGTCTCCATTCATTGCCTTTGTCTGTGTAAGGTCCTGCATTATTCTTGCATTCGCTACCTTTGTCTTCGTTTCGATTGTTAGTCCTGCCATTTTCCATGTTTGTGAGCAAACTTGAAAGTAGATTGTTCTTATTTTGAATTTCTGATTTGAGAAAATCCACCTCCCTTTCTAACCTTTCAATAAGCACTTTCTCATTATTTGCCTTTTCCAGATATTTTCCTTCCAGATTGGCCATGATCTTGTTTGCGAGACGTAGCTCCCTTTGTTCAAGCTCGGCACGAATGAAGTCCATGATGGTCGAGGGAGGGCTGTCATGGCGGGGTGCAAAAACACTTTCCCGCTGTTTCTCCTCTTCTTTCCTTTCGACATTACTGTCTTCAGTCTCGTTCTCTATTATAGAAGAGTTTTCATCCTCATCCAAGTCAGATATGAAGAATGAGTGCCTCTTCTTCTTGACCTTTCGGAAAATAACTCCCTTGGCTTCGAGTTGATCTACAGTGTCAGCCACGTCGGTGTGATTTAGGCCATGCCTCGAGTTCACAAAACTTGTGATGGCGAATTTGTCTGGTCTCTTCTTTAATTTTTCTCTGATATAATTGATTGCATGTGTGATTAGTTCATCACTACAACTCATCTCGATAGATCTCTTTGGTAAGTATCGTTGATCTTAGAAGAACTTGCTGAGCGATGAAAAACACGTCCTACAACTCTGGTTGAAAAACACTCCCTGTCGCAATAAACAACTAAATTTCGCGGCTCAGCGTTTCTGCCCTCAGATGCTGTAGGTGAAAGGTTCGAAGATCATCGCATCAGTTAATAATGAAAGCTTTATAACGGTTTCCATTCCAAAAAGCAACTCAAGTATAAAGTATAACTACCCATGGGTGAAGCGGATGCTATGATGATATAACTACCCATGGGTGAAGCGGATGCTATGGTGAAGCGGATGCCGTTTTCCAACATTGACGATCAACGTTTTCCTTTCCAGGCAACCAAGGCGGTGATCCCTGCACAGACCATCAATGCATGAATGGAGGTACATGTGTCCCGTCTGGAGCTTCTTACGTTTGCAAATGTCCACCTGGATTCCAGGGGAAATACTGTCAAGGTATCTTTATAGATTTTATCACTACTAAACAAACGTGAATAAGCACCTCATACCCCCTGTTGTCTGTGAAACGGACATCTAAGCTATATTTTATACTGCTGGTTGCTTTTGGCTTACTCTATGCGTATGATACTGAGAGATTCTGTGTATCAAATTATCGCCGTACAGAAAAGCAAAGTTGACCAACGTACCATCATTTGTTGAAAACGATGGTTCTCAGAAACCATTACAGCTATATATTTGAACTAAGAATATGGAAGATGATCAGGAAAGGTCATATCTTGGTTTTTCAGGTTTTATATGACAATTCAGTTTCATAGCAATCCATTCAGTTGAAATTTGATAATCTTGCAGCCAATTCCAGGAGCTCGAGAAAGTATTTGAAGGTGTGGTTTGAGCCTTTCGTGCTCAGAAATATTCCGCCCATGCACTCAGTACTCATTTATTTTACTTCCTGTTTATTTCTCTGTTTGTATGAGGTAGTATTTTTTGTCATTCAGATGTAGTCAACGGTGGTGCTGGCGACCCGTGTTCCTCGAATCCATGTCAAAATGGTGGAACTTGCACGACCGTTGGCGGTGCATACAAATGCATTTGCCCAGCCGGATTTCAAGGGCCTACTTGCAGTGGTAACTGATTCATTAATTTGATTAAATTTTATATTCAGGTGTATCCAGATACGGCACAACTTCATATGATTTACAATCCTCAAACACGTTTTCTTTAGAGCACTGCTTTCATAGGTGGGGTAGCGTTCATAAATTATCTTTCTTTTATTCTTTCAAAATTCAAGCAATTTGTTTTCCAACCTCTTCCATCCACATCGGACTTGTGTTGCAAGCTTTTCGATTCTTACAAGTACTACCAAGGACATTGTCCCTGGAAATTAGAGATATTGTCCCTGGTTCTCTAACGTGGGGCATGTTAGAAACACAAGAAACTCTTCAGTGCTCAACCTTTCCAATTCTCCTTACCAAAGTCACGAACTTTCGAAGTCCGATAAGTCATTTTTCCGAGAAATTGTAAACTTTGGAACGCGTTGCCCTCCTTTTCCTCCAAAAAGTATAACCTGACGTCTTTGAAAAACATGATTCACCTCCATCTCTTATTAGCATCTCCTCCGTCTCTTGTTTGGGCTTTGTAATAGGCGTCCAGGCCTTTTGCTGACATCAACGATTTACCATCCTTTTGATAATTCTCTACTTTGAAATTCTTCGTGATTTTTTCATCTAGACAGGAGTGGAGGTGGTTCTCCTGACAAAGGTGATCCATGTCACCCAAATCCTTGCCTAAATGGTGGAACATGTAAACAGAATGGAAACGGATATGATTGCCTGTGCGAGGTTCAGTTCACGGGAAGTGTCTGCGAAGGTACAATCTCGATATTATTATTTATATTTAACCGTTTACCTGAAATTACGCTTGCTAATTTTGAAATTTGGAGGTGTAAAATTCATATTTGTGCTCGATCACACTGACTTTTCTGCCTTTTCAGTTGACAAATGCTCAAAATGCGATGTTCATGCAAAATGTATCAATGGGCACTGTAAATGTCGCACTGGTTACATTGGAAATGGCTATGAGTGTGTGAAAAAAGGTATGGCTCCTTCTGTATTGTGGACTGCAAATTTATTAAAAGTAATAATTTAGGGAGTGATTCCCTCATAGTTGAAACACATGTAAAAGATAAGTAGCATGGATAAATAGTAAGATATATTGAAACCAGAGTTTCACAAAGGACCATGCAATTTCTATGGCATAGCCATGGCTTATATGATAGGTGCCTGAGATAGACAGTTGTGTATTTACTAGGAACTTGTACGCTACTGATGACATAGCTTAAAAACAGAAATAAGTGACACAGACTGTCAATCAATTTTCTGACGTAGGCGTAGGTGATGCTATGACGTCTCTTTTAATGTAGATACCGAGTGTGGAGGACAGAAGTGTGGTCAGTACGCTGTTTGTGAGACAAATGTTTGCACATGCAATCCTGGTTTTGTTGGCAATGGAGTTCAGTGCACACGTAAGTCGGCAACTTTATTCTGATTGACAAATGCATTCACTCGCAAGTAATAGTGGAGAAATACTTTAGTTTGCCAGTCTGCCTCCGCATTTGATGTGTGCACCATCAGGGCTGCTGACAAAGAAGTTACTTGTCTCCATGAATTTTGGTTAAAATTTTCTTGATAAAAATGAAAAGGAAAAGAAAGAAATAAAATTGATCTAATTGCAGTATCAACAAAGTGAGCCTGCATGAAACCAGTATACTTTGTTTCAAATACCTTGAAAAATTTGAACGATCCAAGCATCATTTTGGGTGTAAAAAAAGAATCTTTAAATATTTAATCCAAACGAAACCTTGGGAAATTCTCTTTTGTTAGAAAGACATCTTTTGATCATTAACAGTTTTAGTTTGCTAGTACAGAGAGCTTTAAGGTTTTAGCACATGTAAGTAAAGCAAAATATAATTCTTTTTTAAAAACAATTTATCAAAATTCGAGCAGAGTTACCACAACCACGTATGTTCTTTTGTATATCTAACTACAGCCACGTTTTTCTATCTAATCCAATCTGGAAATTTACCTTGGCGAAATCTTTGGTTTTTCAATCTGACCATTTTGACTGCTTGATCTAGAAGTCAAACTGCTTCAATTTTCTGCTTGGATTGTTTTTGTTGATCTTTGCATTCGACAACTATATTTCTTGATATTGTTATATACACCATGGCTTGGGTTTTCTATTTTGATCTGGATCAAAGCCGTGATAGCATCTCTATCTGGATCGGATCTTGATCTGGTCTGGATTGTATCTGGATTGTATCTGGATCGGATCTGGATTGTATCTGGATCGGATCTGGATCTGGGTCTGGATCTTGGCTTTCTAGATAAATGCCTATTTCAAGTTAAACAATTTTTGGAACAGAAGACTTAGATTCATGTAGATTCTTATTGTATCTTTTTATCTTTCTATGCTCAATATGTCGCTCTAAAAATTATAAATGAGCTCAAATGACTTTAAATTAATACACAGTAAACTCACTTCATAATCGTGCCTCTAAACTTAAAAATCTCTTTAAGAAACTTAAGAAGGCTTAAAAATCTAATTAATTTAAAACTATTGCTCTTTCAGCTTAACAAATAATTCATTCAATTCTCTGGATTTTAAAAGTCTCTATTTGGTGATTTGCAACAAAGAATAGCAAATGTTATTTAACTTAATGCCTTAAATCTTCATGAATCTAAATTCAATAATAATTTTTAACAGCCACCCCTGCACCAGCTCCTCCACCGCCGCCACCTCCACCACCACCACCGCCGCCTCCTCCAACAGTTGCAGTTCCAGCAATGGACTGTGGCTATTGCGAAGCTCCAAAGAGATGCATAAATGGACTTTGTGTTCGAATGGATCCTTATAAAAGATCGATACAAAAACGAAACGTCTAATCGGAACTGAATCTTCGAACATACTTGCGTAAGCTTCTCCTTCGTAAGCTGCAGCCAAAGGCATCTTTGACACTGTTTTTTAAAGAAGCTACTGTTCTGCAAGATCACATGGTTTAGCATTTTAATTCCACTAGCATTTACTTTTGTGCCTAAGAAGTAGCAGCAAAAGTAGACAAAGAAATTGCCAAATAGCAATATTTATAAATTGTTAGCTGCTGTCGTCTTTAGTGGTGATAATCTTTACAAAAAAGGCAGAAGAATAATAGGTTGAGAGGAAGCTTAACCTTTAATCGTTGTCATTTGAGTACCCTTTTTGTGATGCAGTGCATAAATCTACTTGTGTAGTTAGTTTTCTTAGGTTTGTAACCAGATATATAACCTCTATGTAATATGAAATAAAAATTATTTTCTACTTTTCGAATCATATAGAAATACATTTGGCTTTTATTCTGTAAGAAACATCATTACCATTAAATACGAATATTTGTTTCAAAATCAGTATAGATTGAATATAAATTCGTTAAAGAGTTTTTAAAAGCTATACCTCGTAATTATTAGTCTTTGCATAATGCAGCGAGAACAAGTTACTTTTAAAATGATAAATATTGTGCAAAATGTATATGTAAACGCACGCGTTAAAATTGTCAATGAAAATTGGAAGTAAACTTTTCATTTCTTCTTTTATGCCTTTTTGAGTAGGCTTGCGGGCTCTTCTATAAAAATCATACACAGTGAAGGCCCCTTAAAATGGTTTGGGGAAGGGCAATAATTTAGGCTAGAAGCATAGCAATAGATGTCGTTATTTTCTTGAAGAACAATTAATGATTTTAGGATTAAATAGTTTTGAAAAATGCTTCATTTATTTTCCCTGGAAATGTTTGGCTGTAAATTCTTATACAGACATTCGTAATTTTGCGAGAACGGTCATTGTAATCATTAAAGGAACCAAGCGATTTATAAACAGAGCTTGGTAAGAGATTCAGGTAAATGGCTTGAATAGCAGTTTGTTACGTTCGAATGTGCGGACTACGGTGTTTTGTAAATCGTGTCCAAAGCCATCAATCAGAATATCGGGATATGTTTTGTTGCCAATTTCACAATCAACACGTGTCAACAAAGAGCGTAATTTCGCTGTAATGACAGTTCAGCGTTACTGGTGTTTTTTACCCTAGCCCATCTCATGTGAAAAGAATTGTGTTAACTACGTCTATTACTTAAGTAATGCTCTTGTTTCTAAGTAGAAAACAAACATTTGAAACTTCTGTTGATACCAGAAGATGAACTGCCAAAGGCTTCAAAGATTTTAATAACGTCAACTTAGTAGAAGAGACATTCTGAAATTGTCATCAACATACAGTCTCTTGAAGCTGCATTATGTTTGTTGCCAGTTAATCATTTGGACGTAAGATATGCCCATTGCATTGTGTGATTGGTATAAATGCAGACCTTCGAATGCCATTATTGTTATGTTTTGATGTCAATCAGTCAAGAATGGACTGTTGAATGAAAGCACGTACAAAAATCAATTTTTTCGGTTGTTTGGTTTCAGCTTTTATGATAAAGAATCAGTTTTTAAGCTGTTGGATCCATTTTCAGATAAGATGGCTTCAGATTTTCAGTTTTGCCGAATTCCAGGTGTTATTTTAGTTGCAATTGGAATATTGATAAATCTATCGATGCTGCTTCACATGCGAAAAAACAGTTGCAATTTGAACCCGAAACCAAGGCTTATCATAACGAATCTTGGCGTAACCAACATTGCTTTTCTGATCTTCATTTGCACTCACGCTGTATATCTGGAACGACTTTCCATTCCCAGCGTGAATAATGTTGTTCATGTCGTTAAGATATCACTAAGTATGTTGCAACTCGGAGCCAACATTGCATTAGGTTACGACCGATATTTTTGCACTGTAAAACCATTTAAGTACAGGGCGAAGAGGAATCTCAGATTCCAGTGGTCCTGCATACTTATAAACATTTCGATTTCTTGCTTGACAGGCTTAGTTTTAGGCATTTTGAGCAAAATACTTTCATATCCCGAAATGGAATCGATCGTTATTGCTATTTCGCGGTTTGCTGGCTGTGGAGTACTCTGCTTTATGTACATCAAGATATCTTACAGAGTCAAATATAGAAATGCCGTGCAACCGAACCAGGTAGCAATTTCAACGCAAACAATGCCGACTTCAAAAAGAAGTGAACTGGCCGTAAAAAGACTAGCACTGGGCATTACAATAAGTTTTGCAGTGTGTAGTCTACCGATTGGAATCTACAATATGTTTTATCGGTTAAATCCTGACTGCAGGACGTTTGAGGGTAAAGTGACACTGGTATGTTTGTCCCTGCATGGAGCGAATTTCTTTTTCGACCCAATCTGGTACTTTTATACAATGAAAAGAGTTGTGATGAAACGGCGTTTGATTTTCTTCGTTCAATCTTTCATTCATTTTATTTCCTTGTGAAGTTATATGATAGTTATGTATTTTGGCAGTTTTTGAGTTGTGCTGTAATTTTCAATTAATATCCTCTTGCAATATAGCTAACAAATTTTGTGAAACTTTGTTTTTATCTTGCTCACACATCGAGCCTGCCATTCAAGCTTTATTCCTTCAATAAGCAGATCATAGTGAGTATCATTTTTAATCCAATGAACTAATTGATAGATAGATGTTATTCATTTGAGCAAATATTCTTGAAACTGTTTCATACCTGTTTTACTCAATTTTCTAAAGAAAAAGTGGCACAGAATACTTGAATACTCTGAAGATCAACATAAATTCCCACCAGAAGTGCTGACAAATAAAGTAGCCCTGCTCAATATAAAGCAGTATTGCTGTTTTTTCTGTAAATACATTGGGAGTGGTATTTTTAATTATGCACAATGTCAAAAAACCTCCATTGAAATTGATGTCGTGATTATAAATTCCTATTCAAAGTTGCAATTAATAAGGCTATCTTTTATAATTTCTTATAGAAATAAAATTGTTCCTTTTACTTTAGAACTATCTGAGGTGATGCCCCACCCCCCACCCCCCTCTCCCTAGCGTCTGCCACTTTCCACATCATATCAATTCGTTGATAAAGATTGAGATAAAGTATTTATCTAAATATAGCGATTGTTATTGCTATGGAAGTTAATGGTGTTTTTTCTTTCTGAATATGCGATGCTATTCAATGCCATCGTGAGACTATTGACCATGAAGAACGTATTGTAACTGGGAACCGTTTTTTTCTACACACCAAGGCTTGTACTGGAGTTGTCAATACCGGCTAGAGTTTCGGTAATACTGTGGGTAACTAAAGATTCAATTCTGCGAACTGCTTATCCATATCATCATGCCCTTCTTTGCAATGTTTTTTAAAAAACATGTGATATTTTGTTGCCCTCTGAATAATTTCAAGAATCATTAAATCGACAATGCGACAAAATTTGCATTTCCAATTACTTAAAGGCAATTCAATTTAATGATTAGAAAGTGATAAACCACTATGAAGCTCCTTGTTCGCACCTATCTTTGCCACCTTTCGCAGGAAACAACTATACATAAGTGACAATAATCTCTCCACTTGTTGCAACAAATATATAAAAGTATGAATTTTCTTGGTTTATAATTGAACTTTGTCCGAAATATGTGGGGGGAGGGGCGGGTTTACTATCCATACGTGAATTGTGTGAAAATTTGTACAACTATAGCAGATAAATTTGCTAGTACATTAGCTGCCTTTTCAGTTGGAAAATGAAGACGGCAGTGCAATGATCGTTACATACCAGCTCAATAAATACTGAGCGTGGAAACTTCACAAGACCGTTGTGTTTTTAAGAATCGAATTATTTTATTTTCTTTCTGGTACTCATTTTTTTTGCTCACTAAATCATCGTTATTCTGGATTAAGTACCACACGAAACGTACATATTTAAATGGATTTTTCAAAGAAACCTAATATCCGGGAAGAGTTGCTCGGAAAAGGATTGTTCAGAAAATGATTGCGAAAGACAGGTTGTTCGGAACAATGTATTGGTTCGGAAAGAATACATCTAATCCAGTCTTTTCGTCAGAGACCTCGACTCTAGCCCTTCACTGTGAATCAACCTCAATTCTGAAACGAGGCCGTTGGCTATCGGGATACCGAATAATGATAGCTGGTTCCCACAGCATGAATATACACATACATGTATACAACTCAGGATTGATTGATTATTAAAAGTACGTGTTAATTACAATGTTCACGGATCAAGTCAATTGAGACCATGACAAATATCTTAGTATACTATAGATAAGTATTATTTAATAAATGTACATAAAATATATGAAGTATATATGGAAGTAAAATATATGAAATTTAGTGCATGTAGAAAAACATGTGCATAAGTACCTAGCAATGACTACAGTTTAATCCCGGGTCGGACGGGTCGGACAACTGTAAGTCGGACATTCAAGGGGGTTGGGGGGGGGTACGAATTTTTATTTTCATAAGTTTGGAATGTCCAATGGTACTAGAAATCTGTCCATTTTAGTGAAGGTCCTGGGTACAACTAAACGGGATTAAACTGTACATCAACAACATCATCAAGCGTTTCCAAACCAACTTTGCCTTTGACTACGTCTATGCCTACGTCTATCCTTACGTCTATGCCTACGTCTATCCTTACGTCTATGCCTACGTCTATCCTTACGTCTATGCCTACGTCTATCCTTACACCTATGCCCAGACCTATGTCTACGTCTATGTTTACGTCTATGTTTACGTCTATCCTTACGTCTATGCTTACGTCTATATCCAGATCTATGCCTACGTCTATGTCTACGTCTATGCCTACATCTATGCTTACGTCTTTGCCTAAATCTATGTCTACGTCTATGTCTACGTCTATGCCTACGCCTATGCCTACGCCTATGCCTACGCCTATGCCTATGCCTAGTGACTCTTAAATTTCATCTAAATCGCAATTGTCTCATACTGTAATATTTACAGATTTTCCTACACCCGTGTTTGTTGCGTTTTAAATATCAAATTACATATCATCAAGTCATCGTTTGCCAACAGCCCACTATCTCCTCTTAAGCTCATAATTTGAAGCATGTTTGCAAATCTACTTTTACTTTCGTAAAAAATTGTCCAGATCTACTATATTAAAAGATATGATTTATACATTAAACAGTTTGTGTCTCTCGATAGATAGATATAGATATATATATATATGCTGGTTTCAGCTTTCAAGTTTATTAATATCTACTCCATTAAATGATTTGTGTCGTTTATTAGACAGCATAGAAAGATAGGCCTTTGCACCGAGCTCGGTCGTTGATATCGTTTATACCTTGAATTTCTCAATTCTTCTGACGTGGCTACGTATCAAATTTCTCGAAATTCTCTGCTATCGTTTCAACGAAACACTAACATCTTTAATTAATCTAGTTTTCTTTCTTACCTACCCAATTATTCATTTCATTGCTATAGAGAGCAATCATCTTTCTATCAGTTTTAGTGAAGTTATTGTTCCGTATGCTGTTGATTGGCAAAGCGAGTTTTTCTTTCATTTACAAGTTCAGTTGAATTTTTAAAAATCTTCATCTCGCTTTAAGCTATTGTCTAGCTTTCTTCTTTGGCTGTTTCTTCTGAATCCTCTTTTGGTTTCTGTAACGCTGAAACAAATAAATATTCTTTATCATTTATTTCATTGCAAACCATTAATGTGTTCCAGCAGTTTCTTCTCAGATTATCCCAGAAAGCCTTAAATGAATATTAAGTTTATTGGTTTTCAATGAAAGGTGGATTGGTCACGTGACTATCTTTGACCAAGTGTACGTCATTCAGTTGTTCCCGATGTAAGATAAACCTTGCATTTTTGGACACGGTTGAATAGATATAATTTTTTGATTTGCATACTAAAATAGAATTTTTTGATGTGCATACAAACCGCCATTGGAACACCGGAGTCCGCATATGGAACACCGGAGGATCACCATGGTTACCAAGCCTTGTGATAATGTGTTGAACAAGATAGACCAAAAGCGGATAGAACGCTTGTAACAGTTTTCTTTGTTTCTTGGGCTTTTCCGATTTGTGAGTGCAATATTTTTACTGCTTTCAAATAAATGACGTTGCATCATCGAATTACAGCAAAAGATTAGCAACATCTAACTGTTGTTTGAATCCTTGAACTGTTTCAATAGCTCTTAAAATATCATAACTCAGGTATGATGTTATCAATTTGTGATATCATGATGTTCAAAATTTATGAATGAGACTATACTGTAGCTGATTAGATCATTTTAGCCTTTGTAAGCTTTTAGTTTTCAATTCAACGTCACTAATATAAAGAAAGGGTTATTGCGAATTATTTTTGTTAAATTAACAAACAAATATAGTAAAATGTCTCCATGTGATATCTTTTTTCTTGTTACTTTAAACAGCATATCGAAACTCCATTTTGGAGAGCATCTGTTTAAGAATTGTTGAAAAAAGTATGTACGAGTATAAATCTTGCCAAAGTTTGTAGCTTTCAAAGAAAGTTTATCCATTGCCTGTTTGTAAACCATTTTATTGGTTGCTTTTCACCTTTACTCTTTGTAAAAATCACGAACTTTTTCCCTGGATAAGTTTCACAAAAAGATACAAGACTGGGTACTGTTGCAATTAAGAATCTGTATATTAGCTTTCTAACATGATAAATTCCATAGGAAGTAACAGTAGCTAGAAAATATACAATTGTTTGTAGCTATTTTACAAAAAATACAGTATAAAACTGTTACTGAAAATAGTGTCTATATGGACTTATATGAAATTTCTATGTGATATGAAATTATATGAAATTTCTGGATGAAACTAGAAATTCATATCAGATCTAAATGAAGAGGCGCTTAGCCCTTTAGCTAACCTTAAAGGTACGTGATCCCATGATCTTTAAAGATACCTTAGCTGTTAAATTTGGTTATTTGTCTACTTGCAATTAGGTGCAGACTGTTTCCTTAGTATAACAAACAAGATAGAGTGATGAAAGTTTCAATCTGCATATTCCAAAAAATTGCTTTAGGTGGCAGCGTGACTAAAAAGCCAATCCATTTTGCAATATTTACGACAGCAAATTAAAAGTAAATTTAATACAATAATGATTTTGCTACAAATGTGCTTTATCGGACATACCCTGGTTTAACCATTTCGCTTTGATCTAAAAAAAGGGATCCTTCTAACCCTCTAGAAAAGGTCTCCCCCCCCCCCCGAGTAAAGAGTAACGTTCAAGAATGTTATCTAAGCACCCGTCGTATAAGTTAGCTTGGTTACATTTTATACGTGGGTTTCTGTCTTTGCAAAGATTTTAGCGATAATTTTTATATTCTAAACATTTTCAGAAATGCCACGTTTTTCGGAAAACGCCTTTGGTATAGAAGTGTTTTCCAGAGCCATCGATTCCTTCCCATCAAAATTTGAACCCTTTTTTTTACAAGAATGACGTTTAAATTTATGCTTAGGTTGTAAACGTTTTTGTCCGCGTTATAAGCATCAAATTATCGAACGGAGAAATCAAATTCATTGTTTTCCTGTCGTCCATTGCTAATGTCGTTGTAATTTATGTCCTGGTACGAGTTTCTAATGAATTTCTTGGTTCCTGGTGGACCCGGTGGCCCTGAGGGACTTGGCGGAGCAGGTGCTCCTTTTGAACTGCCAGGTGGGCCCGAACTGCTTGGAGCACCTGGAGGGCTTGGTGGTGCAGGAGTCCCTTTTGAACTCCCTGGAGGCCCAGGGGTTCCTTTTGACCCTCCTGATGGGCTAGGAGGGCTCGGTGCACTAGCTCCTTTTGAATCGCTCCCTGGAGGGCCTGGCGGCCCTGGGGGGCTTGGCTTCTTTTGGCCTTCACCACCTTGTGTTGTCGATGATGATGGTGGTGATGGTGGTGATGGCGGTTGTGGAGGTTTTGGTAGTGGTGGTGGTGGTGGCGGAGGTGGTGATGGTGGCGGTGGTATCTTTGTTGATGGGGCTTTACTAACAGGGGGACCAGCGGTAGATGGACCAGCTGTTGTCGGGTTAACTGTTGTCGGTTTAACTGTTGTCGGTTTTGCTGTGGTTGGGGGTATCGGTACGGTTGTTCCAGACGGGGTCGTATCCGGTGCGTCAGTGGGCTGTAACCCTGGGGCTTCTGTGGCAAATGTGGTAGTTGGTGCGTCAGTCGGTTTTTCTGTTTCGGTCCCTTCGTCCCCACCCTCACTGGTAGTAAGGGCTGCAAGAAAACGGAAAGCCCCGTGATATATCAAAGCAACTGAGGTTTCAAATGCTGAAGGAAGAAAGCCTAATGTTTACTTGAACGTTATAGACTGCCAGATGTTAATAACTTTGGATTTTTGGATTATGATTTGGATTTGGATTTTATCTGCAAAATAACTATATATATATATATATTTTTCTGCATATTCCTTACGATTAAAAACCATTTTTTCATAATTGATGACGTCATAAAGCTATTTCTAGATTATTAGAATTCGAACAATTCTCTCTTAAATAACTTTTAGATATTAATGTAATATGACACTGGTTCTAAAACTTATGAACTAAGGTTTCTTGCTAACCATAATTGAGCAATTGGTAGCAGATGTTGTTGATTTTTAATAAAATTTGCACATTTAGAGGTATCTTGTGGTAATCTTTAAGACTGGTTTGCCTGGATTGAAAATTCCATGAAATGATTTTTAACAGCACCCTCATTTTTTTACTCATTTGACACCATTTTTCCATTTCTTAAACTCCATATGGCAATGGTTTTCCACCATAACCATTTCTTTACTTTTTCTCTTTACATCTTCTCTGAGTGAAAATGTTTAGCTCTCCCCATGAAATCATAAACAAACCCGGTTAATAGTATCATGATGTTTGGAATAACATATTAATAGCTTGGCAGGAAGCACAAAATTCTGGTTACTTACGCAAGCAGACTCGATCGACAAACGTGTAGCCTTGATTGCACTGGCAGTTCCCTGTCGGTATCACGCATGTAGAATATTGTGGGCATTTTTGTGCACAAGTGGGAACATCTGAAAAACCAGTTATCTGTCTTAAAAAAGTGTTCTATACGCAATACCTAAGAAGCTTACACCAAGCATCATTATAGTTGGTTTCTTTAATGTTTGCGCTTACATGAATGCTGAATGTCTATTTTAATCACGCCAGCAATAAAGGTTTCTAAAGGTTTTCTTATAGAAACACCTTTCAGGTGCCTAATCAATGAATTAATCTTACCATAATTGAAGTACAGAGAGAGCTAAGGCGGTTCAGATATCAAGCCCTGGTCAATGTAAGATATGACTGACTAAAGAGTCTCGACAAGACAGTTGATTAATCGCTCGAGGACTGAGTTAAATGTTTCAGGACAAGGTTAATCGTTTCAAGGACTCAGTTGATCGCTCAAGGACTCAGTTAATCGCCCAAGGACTCAGTTAATCGCTCGAGGACTCAGTTAATCGTCTCGAGGACTCAGTTTATCGTCTCAATGACTCAGTCAATTGTTGAGGACTGAGTTAATCGCCTCAGACTCAGTTAATCGTCTCAAGGACTCAGTTAATCGTCTAGAGGACTCAGTTAATCGTCCCGAGGACTCAGTTAATCGTTTGAGAAATATGATTGATAATCGCCTCGAAAATCTTACAGCACAAACAGATTGAATTGGGGGGTTAAGCATTGTAAATATGCCAAAGCGTTTATGAAAGTTTGGAGGAGGTTGCCAACTGTCCTTGTTACTGTCGCCCTTGTTAAGATGTCTATGGCTTACCTTTGATACAATCATATCCGTTACCAATGAAGCCAGATTTGCATCGACATCTTCCGTTCACACATGCTGCGTTTGTGTCGCAGTTGGCACATTTATCAACTAAAAGGGATTATGATGCTGTTTGATTAAAACGACGAGACTGCTATTATTACGAAGCACAATCCATGAAAAGTCAAACTTATATTCAGACATGATCCGAAATCCACAATCTTTGCTATGTATCTTGATGACTCCTTTGCTCCTGTTCTTCATTTTTTCAAATTTTTTAAGTATTTACAGAGGTGTTTGACCTTAATTATAAGACTAAATTTGCCCAAAATTTGTTGTAGTATATTTTTTTTGTGAAATGACGATGCCTTTAGCAAAAGGCTCTTTTTGGTATATAGAGATATGGTTAATCTTGACTTCCAGACAAAAAAACTAAGTAAAAGTCTGCTTTAATGTAAGATTAATATGTTTTTACTCCCATCACATAAAGTTTTCTCAGGATTACTTGTTATAATGCTAATTGAACAACTCACCGTTGCATGTTGGCCCTGTGTATCTAATAAGGCAGATGCAGTCATATGATTGGCCACTCTTGACGCATCTACCTCCGTTCTTGCATGGGTTTGGTTCACAGACACCTGTCAAAAGAGTACAGGTAAAAGATCGCTTCTTTTTCATTCTATGACAGTTTGGATGTAGAAATAACAGGTTCAAGATCAAGGAGATGGAGAAGAGCGGAATCACATCCGACGTTTATTCTCTGAGGAGGGTCGGTATTTTCTTCTGCTTCTTGCAAAGAAAATTTAGATTATGCTGATCAGACGATTTTACAGCTGCAGGCAAAGCACCTTTCGTATCTCAAAGGATCAAGAATATAGATAATAGAAATGAAAATAAATTGGAGATCTAAAAGGATAATGGAGAATGAAGTATGAAGAGCTGTCAATGGATGCCTGGATGTACCTACATAGACCATATCTGTAGTGAAAAAGATTAAGTTACACAAACCTTTTGCCGGAGCCTCTTTTGGATCACAGTAAGGCAACACTGGGAACTTAGGAGGACACTCGCATTTGAGGAACTTTCCTGTTTTCGGATCACTTTTGCACTTGCCATTGTTATTGCAAGGATTTGGATTGCAAGCTGAAATAATCAGAAATGCCATTCAATGTTTGTTTGATACATATGTCGACCAAAGACATGTCTTTTTGGCAAAATATTCAGATATTCGACGAAGAGGAGATGCAGCCAAGGTATTCTCCAAGAGAAGCCAGATTTAAAACGAAAATTTTCGTTTCCAGCAATCAAAACGTACACATAAAAAAATTTACTCACGATCTTTGATTTGGCAATTTTTGCCAAGAAATCCTGCAGGACACTGGCACGTGTATCCGCCGCTTCCATCATCCATACAAACGCCATTGTTAACGCAGGGATTGCTTTGACACGGGCTTCCAGAACCTTCTGCAAATTTCAATATTATTCATTTTAGAATCTATGGTATTGATTCGGGAGGCAAAACGTAGAAATCATCTATCAATCACTTCATCTTTATTTTCTATCAAACCTGCCAACCCCCGTCTTACATTCATAGAGCATATGCATCATAAACATCCGCTTTTGCGCATGCTCTGATCGCAGGGACAGGGGTTGTTTATTCTTTAACAGACGTTCATATGCGCATCTGCTCATCTTTAGGTATTGACTGAAAGTCGTAAATCACCATCTGATTGTAACAAGGTCTAAGAAGAGCCAATTTTGTTTAAGAAGGTTTTTGATTTTCTTTTGGTTGTGCTAAATTTTTATATAGCAAAGTAATAAGCCAGATTTCTAAAACTCTCCATTAGAATAGAGTTAGTTGTTTACCATTTTAGAAAAAAAAGAGAGATTTACAAGTACAGAGATTCTTAACGATGCTATATAGTTTTCCATCCGAAGGTTTGAAAGTCTTCACTTAATTGTTTTATTGAAAATAAGTTATGTTCTTGTTAAGAGTACATAGCAAGACCGAAATTTTGACACTAGTCGCTGTTAGTATTTAAAAAAATGTTTAATGTAAGAAATATGGGATAATCTGACTTTTTATTTCCTGTGATCAACGATAAAAAGGAAGCAAAACGTAAATTTTGACACGGGTCACTATGACTATTATAAAATAGTTTTAAAACAAACAGTAGAGGATCAATTATTTCCTTCACAACTGGTGATAAAAAGAAAACTAGACATGAATAGAAATCTTACTTTTCTCTTTTTGACACATCTTTGCAATTGGGTTCATGATGTACCCTGGAGGACAAACGCATTTTCCTTCTTGATTGCACGTTATATCAGGAACTCCCGGCATGCTCTTCTTTGGACAACCACATTCTACAGTCGAAACATAATTTTTTTACAACTGGTTTGCTTGTCTTGTTGTTATTAGCTCAATGGAAATTGGCGAAATTTCGATTGAACACAAATTCGAGCTAAGCTAATGTATTGTTCACGGTGTCAGAGTCACTCGTTATTCACTCGGTATGAGCCACAAAACTCGAGTGATCAAAGTTTGTCTTAATTATCCAAAAGCAAACTATTAGTTGGCAAACAATTGAAAACAGACTTTATCATTTACCAAAGCCGTTCTATTACTATTTGATCTTATACGGACGTTATGTTAAGATCTTTTAACTGGTAACAAAGGAAATTAAAGATAAATTTGACAATTTTTTGAAAATATTTTCTTCGACATCTATGTGCAAAAAAATCGTCAAAAATATTTTGGTTGGTAGAATTATAATCAAAGGTAAGACCGTCTACCGTACACAGGCAATTCTATTTGAATTTCACCACCGACCAGCAACTTGAAAAGTTCTACGAGACTGAAAAAGAGTCCTGACGTTTTGTAAGAACCCTTGAATCTAGATTACTTTTGGTGCGTAAATAATCTTCCTCAAGGTCCTCAGCCAACAAGGTTTTACTTTTCTAGATGCTATTGCTAACATTACCTTTACAAAATGGCTTTGCCCACATTCCTTTGCATTCACAAGATGCAGTGCCATTTTCATCTCTGCATGTTCCGCCATGTTGGCATGGGCTAGGTATGCATGCATCTTGCTCTGTTGATTGAAAAAACTTCCGTTATTTTGGACATCTATGTTGTAGTCCGACTTTAATACGTATTATATTATTAGAAAATATAGTCTCTTCAAGTCTTTGAACATGCTGCAGAACTTAAAGTGTCCGTGGCAAAACAACCAAATGCAGAATAAAGCAAAAAAGCAAGAATCAAGGGATCCCTTCCATCGTCAATTTCTTATATATTTCTGTCTACATTTTATAAGCGACAAGAAATTCATTAAAATGATTGTCAACAGTTACGTACGATTGCAGCTCATTCCCTTGAATCCTGGCTGACAAATGCAGTTGTAGCTACCATCTCCTGTAGGCACACACTGTCCTTCATTTTTGCAGGGATTTGGGTCGCAAGGGTCTTTGTCTGCGCAAGAGGAGAAAGCCTATGACTTAACATTTAGTCGAGAAGTATAATTTCTTTTACATCATTTCTATTAAGATATCAAACTTTGGTTATTATTCTACAATTTTAGTGTACGTCGAATGCGTCTTTAATTATAAGATTTTGTGACGTCATAATTTGAAGAATATAATGATTTCAAATCATAAAATAGATTGATGCCTAGGTTTGCTCTAAAAAATGGTGCTTGGATCGCATTAAATTTCTTGAACATCTAAGTACCGAGCAATTTACTCAAATAAAAAGCGAAGGAATGTAACATACTTTTGCAATAAGGTGGTAGATATGGCTTCTTGCATCTGCAATCGAATTCGTCAGTTTCTCCTTTTTGCACACAGACACCGTCATTTTCGCAGGGATTCGGATGACAAGGGTCAGCTTTTTCTAAGGATAGGTCATTATGTTTAAAGTTTTAGTTTAAGCTGGATCGAGTTTACAAATACCCTGTATATAGCTCTGCAAATATACTGCAATCCTAATTCCTTAACAGATTTCAAGATGTAAATTGGACAATGCATCACAATTTCACGTAAAGGCGTTATCATACGCTAACACCTTGGGCGTGAAGCATAAAAATGTAAAAATAAAATAACAGAAAAAATGAAGGTTGCAAGGAAAAATGGATCAAAGAAACTCAATGTACATTAAAGTTGCAATCGCTACTCATATCAATAGGTAATTAATCAAAATTAAACTCATTTGTAACTGGATATGGTTCAAGGTTACTTTGTTAGATACATTTATATCATTATGTAAATTGTTTTTTTTTTCATTTTTGTAGCGTATCCTAATGAAATATAGATACTCGATCACGATCAAATAATTACATTAATCCTATCCTACAAAATTAATCCTACAAAAAAAACTGTTTCTCAATACATGTAGATGGTCTATGATGCGAATATATTTTCGTTTATCAAATGATAGTACAGGTGAATGTTAAGAATACTTATTTCTGTAATAAAGTGTATTCAACTATAGATTGCTATTTGAAATAGAGGGGTTTTCTATCGTTTATATTACCCAAAATATTACCTGACCTTTCATTTTACAATATCTAAGAAGAGAACAAGGATATCATGTAAACCTCAATTAATTTGAAACACCTTCTTTTTGTCTTGTAATGAAAACAGTTTATAATTTTGAATGAAATGATCTTACTTATGCATATTCTTCCATTTCCTTTGTAACCATCGTCACAGACACACTTTTCTCCTTCACAGTGTGCATTTTTGTGACAGTTTCTGCATGCATGAACTAAAAAAATGACATCATTTGAAAAAGATATAAACAAAAGTTTGTTGCTACTCTTTCGCTAATTCAATGCATTTAACAAAGAATAATTAATATCTATAGCTTTGATATTTAAAAAATAAGTGACAGGAATGGTAAAATTTTTGTTGTATGCATTATAATGCATTTGTTAAATGTAAGTTATAGTATTCATAATATTTTGTAAATCATTCTATATGATCATTTTCTCTTTCATTATCTGGCTTCAATCAATTAAGATACATTTTATATGCTAAGCTTAGATTCTAGATTTAACTTCATTGGCTTATCTAGCGAATGTTGCAGCCGCTAACTTTTCTGTTGTCATCTATTTGCAGAAATGTTTCCAGTCTTTTGAAAAATTTCTTTTGTGTCTGACATATGAAGCAAAATGTTTATGTAGTTATTACAGACCTTCGCATTTCTCTCCAGTGTAAGGCGGCTTGCAGATACAATAGAACTGCAGAGGACCATATGACCAGTGGAATCCAGAAAATGAATCTATGCACTTGCCACCATTTAGACAAGGCTTGGTCAGGCAAGGACGGTTCTCTGTAACAGGTATAGCAAAGACATATATCAATTTCAATTAACATTCAAAACTTTTTAGTTCTTCCTAAAATTCAATAAATTGGTGATACGGCTCTTCATGTTGTAACTATTTTTCTTAGGATGGCATTTAGTTTGAAACTGGCATCATGTAGAATCAGATACAATTGACGACAAAAAGTGAATTGCCTCAGCTGAGTGCAACATTGATGCATCAATGCATTTATGCCGTGAAAGGTATTTTTATGGGTTGGGCAAGTCGTTTCAGTTTATGGTAAAATGTCCACGATGCGTTTTGGTAGTAGGCTAAATATTTGTTTGTAAAAATATCACCGAAGTGATACTTTGGAAATGAACAGCTTTGACTGTCGAAACAAAAATTTTCACGCATGTGTATGTGGTATGGATTTGTGAAAGAACAGTACCACATAGCCACTACCACATCCAAGTAAACTATGTTTCGCAATCTGTGTAAACGATACTTATTAATCAAATTTGAAAACACGGATTTTAGCAATCTTTAGGCTTTTGTACATTTACGATATCCTTCAAGCTCTAGGTCATGTTTTTTTCCTAAAATGTAGAAACATTACTTCGAGGTGGGTCTCACCTTCACAGAGCCTGCCTGAGTGCCACGGAAGACAAACACATTTAAAGTCTTTGCCATCTGCTGTTTCGCTACATGTTCCACCATTTTTGCATGGGTTGGGTTTACATGCACGCTCTGAAAATCAAATAAAACTTATATTCAGCAACGTTTTCCTCAAGTCTTGTAGAGTCTACCATATCATGCATATTCTCAACAGCTTGAGCTGACCAGATTCATCACCCTAAGTCATTGAAGATAGGCGTCGTTTTGCGAAGAATCGTCTGCAAGGATCTTATTTTCAAAGTCAATCTTAAATAACGTCAATTTCATTGCCACGCATATTTTCTACTAAATTACGGATAGTTATAATAATTTATTCCTTGCAAATTGGGGCACACCATCTATTTTGATCACGTCACAGTGTCTAAAAGTAGTGTAAATCAACGCATATGAAGAGTTATTTCGAAATGTTCACACTTTAGAAGCTTAGATGTTATAAGCAAAGACAGTTTAAGAGGTGCTTTTCTCAATGCATCATGTTGTCTTCGAATCACAGAAGGAAGCTTTTCGTTCATTCTTAAAGCCTATCATACATACCTTCGCATATTCGTCCTCTCCATCCATGATTACAAATACAGTTGAAATTTTCATGGTCTTCTTGACAAATGCCTCCATTTTGACATGGGTTTTGGTAGCAAAATCGTGGTTCTTAAAAGGAGAAAAATTGATCTTCATCAATAAATGTGAGATAATCTTAAAATAATTACTTTAAGCTCCCAATATTGAGTTTATTTGTTGAGTTTCTTTTGGAGACATTCAACGATCTTTGGTGAAATTCAGTGTTGTTTAAAAGTGCAAAGATTGAGCAAGTTAACTAAAGAGCAGCTACGCTATAAGTTATTTTCCTGCGATTTACTGTTAAAAAACTTACTGTTGCATATTGTTCCTCTAAACTTCTCTGTACATTGACATTCAAACTTGCCCTTTGCATCAACTTCAGTGCACATTCCATTGTTCAAACATGGATTTGGTTTGCAAGAATGTAGATCTAAAAAAAATCAGAGTAGAGATTGTGACAAAAATATCAAATTTTGTGCCAATCTTCTCAATTAATGAAACCTTTTCACGAGTCTTGATACCTGATGTGCCCTGCATTATCAGAACGGTACCACCAGATGGTACCATCATTATACACTCAAGATGAATTTTCGAGTGACAAAGTTACTAATGTGAATTTGCTAGTTTGATTCAGAATTTAGACAGCTGTTCTTAGAAAGGCAGCGAATGAAAATCTCACTTTAACTGATATAAAGTAACTTTTTCTATCATTTATGCACTTTTATAAATAATTTCTGCATCCAAGTTAACCTTATTTTTGAATTTATTTACCCAATTCTAAATATTTTATGTACTAATTTTTTAATACCTTCACAACGCGTTCCCTTGAACCTCACCGGACAAACACACTCAATTTTTCCATTTCCATCATGAGAGCATTTTCCGTTGTTTTTGCAAGGATTGGGATGACAAGGATCTTTCTCTAGAAAAGAAAATTTTCGTGATGTAACCATTTAAATATAAATTGAATAACTCTGCTTGAAAGGTGTGAACAGTTTTTAGCGGTACAAAACTTGAAAATGGCTTTTAAAAAGCAAAAGAGCAATAAATATTTTATGCCAAGGCTATGCCATATAGGGTGTCACATGTACCATACTTTATGGTGCTTACATCTTACATGCTATGACTCATTTATGACCTTTAAAAGTTTGAGCTCGGTAATTAAGCGTCCCAGATTCTCCCGTTTCAAGAAATCTTCTTTCTAGCGCAAAGGGATCGACTGCAAGTCTTTTGTTGTTTTAAACTCCGAATTTCCAAAGAATTTTATTTGTAACAGCAATAGTCGATAGAAAAAACCTGTTTCAATTGACTGTGTTAGAGCTAAGCGGATTACGGCTTTTGGAAATTATGAAATAACTTAACATATTGGCAATTCTTAAAGAAAGACTCAGAGAAATTTCAGTTCAGGTATCCTAGAATAAAAGTCCTAGAATATATGAATGCATTCATGATTTCTATGGAAACAACTCATTGGAACTTACTTTCGCATTGTTGTCCGAAATATCCCGGAAGGCAAGTACATTTATACTTTGGTAATTCGATGATGTTGTGACACCTTCCTTTGTTCTTGCATGGACATGGGTGACAGTGATTGATGTCTGCCAAAAAAGGGTAAAATCTGTCATACATGATCTTATATGGCAGCATAAAATTTTTCAATTGCAAAAGATAAATTAGATTGCCTTTAGATTGTCAAATATAGTTAGCAACGGATGCAAAGAAAATATGTTACTGTAAATTCACTATGGTATTATGATGTCTTTGTAAAAGAGTTTTATTGCTATCACCCGCGAGACAGATATCATTGTACGGAGCATCATTGTACGGAGCATATACTAACTCAATGAAATTAATTCTTTTATGACTGGAAATTGACATACCTTGACAATTCTTCCCGATGAACTGCTCTGGACAAATGCATTCATAAGAATGAGGACCAGTTGGAACAAATATTCCTCCATTTGTGCAAGGTTGGTATTCAACAGAACCTAAGAGTTAATCTCACATGATAAAATCGGTCATCCTAAAAGTACATTGTTAAAGAATGATAGATTGAAAGACTTTAGCAGCTGGTAGGTAGGTAGGTGAGGTTTTCCTTGTTTCTTTCCTTTTGTAGGACTTATAGCATGTTTTGAAACAGAATAATCATCCTTCTTCATCATAAATACCACCAGAAGCAGTAATGTCGTGGAGGGAGGCTCAGGGGGGATCAGTGGGGCTCAGGGGGGCTCAGGGGGGGCTTAGAATACACAGCCTTCCTTCTGAAAGTTCAGGGAGATTTTTTTGGGGGGGATCTCAGCTCCTCCCTCTTAATAAATAAATTAATATTTGGTTAGACGACTTCTGTGTTGGCAACCCTTTACTGTACTTTAAATTCCTCTAAAGTATAATATGTACTTTATATGTACTTTAGATTATTTGTGACATCGAATAGTTTGAGTGATTCCTAAATACAGTGGAGAGTTTTAAATACAAATGCAGGAATATGTGGAGTGAAAAGGATGTCATCATATGTGTGGCCTCTTGAATTTGCCTATAGCATAGCCCTCCTTCCTAACTTTATAGGACGGCACCATTGATCAGAAGGGAACTTAAATCATCTTTTTGTTCTAGAACGACTATTTGAACAAAGTCACTTTATGTCGATACGAATAGTGGTAAGTCAAATTAATTCATTAGTCATGGAGTGTATGTTTGAAGGGCCAAATTTTTATTCACTAGAAATTGTCAGGTTTATGTTTAGAATTTTTTTTGAGATTTCTGGCAGTTTTTTACAATGCTCTAAGTGCTATAGGGATAAGTGTATTTGCTTGTGTATTGTGAGGTGTTCGCTATGGGGATTTTTTTGCTATTCAATGTTCAACTGTTTCTGAGAAGAGGGGACCATTCTGTTATGATAACGAATTGCACTGCAGACGTGCTTTGCTTTGTGTGCTGTCATTATGTTTGACTGACGCACCATATGATGTGTATAACATAGTTGATTGAGGCCATATGGCTTACCTTGGTCTTCCACCTCGTGGAATGAATTATGGTGATGAGCCTGTGTCACATGGACCGGTGGATGTGAAATTTCAACAGGGGTTTGATGTGACAAGTGATGCTCAAGCTCCACCCCTACGTGGTTGTCATGATGATCCAAGATAACAGGATGACCTTCGTCATGATGGCCTTGAAATGCGTCTAGATGCATTGCATTGTGCGCTACATCTTGGTGCATAAGGTCTTCATTCGGGTGTACGATGTTCACAACACCTTGTTGATGTTGCAAAAAGTTGGCACCGTCTTGCTCTGCTGACAGCAATTGAGACTCGTGTGAAGTAGCAACGTGTGGGGACATTGCCACAGTCTCATCTGCTGTGTGATGATCAGCCGTGGGAAGTCCATCTGTCACATGACCCCCGACGATATTACTATCAAACACATGCGGATCAGTTGTGTGGATATCGTTTCCAATGTGATTGCCAAATCCGTTGTTGTAATCGGCATTGATTGAAGTTGGAACTGAGGTAATGTGGCTGTCAGGCCCGTCTTTATGGTACATAGAAAGTGGGTTTAATCCGTCTTCCGATGGAAGATGTGCGGGGGTTGCTTGGCCCCCAACTTGTAATTTCTGTCCATGTAAGGCAGCTGTTACTCCATGAGCTGCATCTAAATATCCAACGTTAGGGGCACCTGGACTAAACCCAACATCAGCTGTCGGTACACCATTTAAGCCGTTTTGATGGTCAGTAGCTTGGTGTACTTGCTCTAGTCCACTAAGTTGTCCCAAATTGTGTCTTTTCAATCCAGAGCCAGCCCCTTTTTGCTTACGGTACTTATGTACAATGTCAAATACTTTAGTCAAGTTTTTATCCCCTCTGTCAGCTTGCCGGCTATTTTCTTCTTCGACATCCTGACGCTGTTTAAGAATTTTTTGCTTTCTCAGCCTCAAATGTCGTGCTGCGTCTACCTTGCAAACGATAATCAAAACAAGAAAACCAAAAATCCAGTGCAACCTCATCTTGGAAAGACCAGTATGACTTTGTTTACGCCTTAGTCGATGTAGAGTAACATTTTAGTTTGTGTTGTTTTTCGTATTTTTTCATAAATTTGTCGCGGTTGGCAGCTTCTCGACGGAAGAACACCAGAGCCAGGGAAACCAATCAGCTCGCATGGTTGTTGGCCAAGGACAACAGGACAACCTGCTTGTGTGAATGGTGGGACTTAAGGTCATGATCACTGCTGGTTTAAAGTAAATCTTGTGCAGGCACTATTTCAATTTTGACTCGTTCAGTTACTTATGCAAATGAAAAGACAACCGACATTGAGTTTATACATAGCTAAAACAACGAGTAGAATGATGTACCAGCAGTTGAAATTCTGCTCAAACAAAAATAGCGTAGTGTTAGATAGCTAACTGTATAAGAAGTTTATCTTGATTTGATTACTACAAAGCTAGGTATTAGATGGGGCAATGAGTTGGTTTGTGCGTCTATTTGAATCATCGCTTTGGTTTCAGTAACAAAGAAACGAAAACAATGATTTTTTGAGTTCTCTAAAATTTCGTGTAAAAAGTTGAATTTCAGTAGTATTTCAAAAGGACTTTATCTTTTTTTGCTTCCGCTGGCCACAATGAAAGAAAACTAGACCCGATCTGATCTTCCATCTTCGCAAAAAACTTCGCATTTTTTTAGCAGAGAAGTGTCCCTCATCTCAACTTATTCCCCTGAAGTAATGTATCAATTACATAAATAGCTTTGGCTTAGCTGAAGACAAACCCACCGTCCCAGAAGGTCCCCGTGGTCCCCATTCATTCTCCAATGGCAAAGTATCGATACATACATAGCTTTGGCTTCTTGCAGGAGCCCCCCTTTCTCAAAAATTAAGCTTTGTTCAACGAGCCCCTTGACCCTAAGCACCCGCCAACGAGCCCCTTTCGCCATCCAGATTTGTGTCATGCACAACAGCGTGGGAAAAAATATTGGTTTCAATAATTGTAGAAGTTAGGCGAAAAAGGACTGTGATTCTTCGATAAAATGATTTGAAATCTTTCCTGCATGCAGATGGTACGGTTGCTGATTTGCTTTGATCGAAGCTGCTCACCAGGTTGGCTATGCGATAAGAAAATACCAAAAGCTATCCTAATAAACAGTGTTGCCGAATCTGTTTCTATGTTTCTTCGAGACATTTACGTCTAAAAATGGATCACTAAAACAACATTGTGCTAGAAAATTGACAGATTTAAAGATCATAGCCAGTTTTGTCATCATTATTTCACACCGAGAGCTGTACTCTATTCAGTAGTAGCAGCGACAAAGATTCTTGATATGAGCTGTCTTTCATTTTCCTGGATTATCATTATTGCATCTTTTGGAGTTCCTTATATTAGCACTGACTATGAAAACAGGTTTGGAGGTAATTTTCTAAACAGTATCTTTATGAAGTTACAACTATTAATGTTACCATGGTTTTTTTCAGTGTTTTCTGAGAGTTTCTTCTCACAAAGCTTCTTTTTCTAGCCAAAACCATGTGCCTTGTGTTTTATTCTATCCTGGTCTTTGATTTATTTTCAAACTTTGGTAACATTCTATTCATTTACTCGAACCAGTAAACCTTTGTCCATTTTTGCATAGTTCAAGGTTCATCCTTGGTGGCACTTCTAGCTGACATATTTTCCTGGAATAAACAGTAGTATAGCTTCTAAATTCATAGTTATTTTCTAATTCATTTCATTCAACCGAAAATAATAACATTTATTCAGTAGCTGAGTACAATTACTTCTAAGTGTCTTTCAAAAGTAGTACTTGTCAATTTAGCATTTTGCGAGTAAAACGTAATGCATGTCAAACAGGTGAATAAATCAATTTACAAGGAGTACGAAAAAAATATCATCAAACATAACACAAGATTGCTAAAGCTATCAATTCTAGCTAGAAAATGCATACTTAGGCATTTGCTTGGCATCAAGTAGAATGAAAAATCACTACTACAGTAAAGCTAGTCTAAAATCCTTTGGGGAAGGATGGGAGGGAATTCTTATTCTCAGACCAGCTATCGATGTGTGAACTTTAAATTTCAGTACAAACTATTTATACTGAAGCAACTTCATGTTCAAGAACAACTTGAAGTCACAATGACGCTTGCATTCGCAACTATACTGTAACCTTCTTAAAGACTCTTTTCTCTTACTTTCTCCTGGCTCTAAATAAATTCAGTTACTTTAACTCAATTCAGAACAAAGAATAAATCATTAGTACACTGGTGAAACATCAGAGGGCCTATACATGATCCTTATGTTAGTCAAAATCTATATCTTCGGAGAAGCTGTTGGGCATGCAAAATTGACTTCATTTTCTCAAGTTTTAACTCAAATAGCATTTTCAGTGTCACTGAAACCAAATAAAAACATTCTTTTCAAAGGGATTTCACTATAACTGCAAAGACTGTCCATATGCGGAAACGATTTTAAAAATTTCAATTTCTTAATATGACCTAATCCAGATTGGCTAGATAAGTCTAAGTTTCAAGTTTTGGTTGATCATCCTTTTGTGGAATATCAGGGCTTTTTTGTTATTTACAGTTTTAAAATGCTGCAAATTTACATACTACTAAAAGTATTACAAAAACCTTAAAAATTATTGTTAGATAGTAAAGTTAAATTCAATGTTGTCATATTCAAGGGATGTTATTAAATTTGCAAGAAAAATTTTTTATAACAGAATGATGCTAGTCTTCAATGCAGAAAGCTCAAGTTGATTTGGTTCTTTGTGTAATTTGCATGGGAGCTTGCCCCCCCCCCCTCGCAAGAAGAATCAGCTCAATTATAATCATCTTTTCATAATGTTTCCATTGGCATAGTATTGAATTCGATCAATTTTGTCTGATTTGGGGGGGGGGGGGCTGCAACCCCCAGCCTCTATGCCTTTTACGTCTATGGAAGTTTCGATCATACTTATATGTAACAACTCAGTAGAAAAGAAAAAGGTGTCCTTTTTCATGTTCACATGTCCTATTTATAAAGAACAAAGTGATGATTTGAACTTTTAAAAACGGTTTAGATAAAAGATACGTTTTAAAACATACTGTTTAATAAGAATAGTTTTGAACATAGTAATATTATCTTCTTTCT